TTTCATTTTTGGCGTTCCAAACTCACTGAAAGGTTGATGCGATTGCCTTTCTTCCCGTGGCTTACTCTTTGGTGCCTGTTGTGTATCTGTTCTGGGTCCGTGCCTGGCACTTAGAAGGCAGACACCTGGTCCATCTTTGTGGGATGAGGGAATGTGTGTCTGTTATGAATCAGGGACCTTGAGTTTAAGGCAGAAGGCAGGAGTGAGTCCCACACCAGTGTGCAGTAAACTCACCCGGAAGGCTTACTGAAAATGTGTGGTCTCCACCCCACCCCCTGGAGGTTCTGGGGTAGTTGTTCTAAAGAGAGACCAGGGACTTTGCATTTTAAGTGTACATTCAGGTGATTGCTTTTCAGGTAATTACCATCCAAAAAACAATGTCCTGGGAGCTTTAAAGAGAGTGATGGTTCAGAGCTTTCATGTGGGATGGGCAGGAAACCACCTCAGTGCATTCCATTTTAATTTTCTGGAGAAGGCAGATAGGTTTCACTTGACAGGTCAGCTCGGATCTGTTCACAGTGACTGTGACTGCGGTGTTAAAAGAAGATTCTGAGGTCATGCTTAGCTTGCTGGGGAGGAGTGTGGTTAATAATCAGTGATGTCGTCCGCAGATGCAGATGGGAGCGGGGGCATATGTGCCATCACCTGCCATGTTGGGGGCCTGGACACAGAGTCTGGAGACTGGGTCCTCAGTTGGCACCGTCTCTCAGCACAAGGCAGGCCAGCCAAGATCTACGTTGTGATAAATTCTTACAATCCGTGGCTACCTTTCCTCCTCTTTAGATTTCAGGAGTAGATGTCGGAAGCAGCCAGTAACAGCAGACAGGCTCAGGCTGGGAGTGGTGAGAGCACAGACCCCGGCGCCAGGCTGGGTCATCCTGCCTTACCACTGAGCAGTTGTGGGAGATTGGGCAGCTGGTTTAACTTTGGGTCTTAATTTCCTCATCTGTAAATGGAAATAATAATAGTACCTCCCTCCTAGGGATGAAACGAGGTAAAATACATAGAGCACTTGGTAGAGTGCCTGGCACATAGGACCATACGTGTGCGTCGTTACTTCTCTCAGGAGCTCACCGTGATTTGTGGGTAGAGAAGAATTTTGAACTCTTGGGAGAAGAGAACGTTTGGAGTCTGAGATGCTCTTCTGGTGATGGGGCTGTGAAATTCACACGGAAGGAGGGTACATCGGGTGCCTCTGAACCCGGCAAGGACATGCCTTTCTCTTGTGAAAGGAGAAGGGTTGGGAGATGCATGCACTGGCTCATGCCTCCTGATCTTATCCCTGTCTGTCGAGCTGTAGGAGGCAGGCCACTGAGATACCCAGGGGGCAATTACAGAGGTTGGCTTGCAGTCTTGAAAAGGAAGAGTTCCACTGGATTTTTTTTTGCATTGGGAGAGAGGGTACTAACTGGGACCTCATTCAAGAGGCAGTATTAGGGACGCCTGGGTAGCTCAGCGGTTGAGCGCCTGCCTTCGGCTCAGGGCGTGATCCTGTGGTCCTGGGATTGAGTCCCACATGGGGCTCCCTGCAGGGAGCCTGCTTCTCCCTCTGCCTGTGTCTCTGCCTCTGCCTCTCATGAATAAATAAATAAAATTTTTACAAAAAAAAAAAAAAAGGCAGTATTAATGATACAGTAAAAAAACCCAGCAGCCTTCCAGCATTTATGAGCTGGCTGTCCTGTAAATTCTAACCACCTGCTGGGGATCCCTGGGTGGCTCAACGGTTTAGTGCCTGCCTTTGGCCTGGGGCGCAATCCTGGAGTCCCAGGATCGGGTCCCACGTCGGGCTCCTGGCATGGAGTCTGCTTCTCCCTCTGCCGGTATCTCTGCCTCTCTCTCTCTATCATGAATAAATAAATAAACCTTTAAAAAATAAAAAATTCTAACCAGCTGCTTGGCCACTTAGCAAACCCTGGGACAAGTTCTCCGGACACCCAAAGAGCCCACATAGGACTCTTGTTTCCCAGTTATCTTACTGGTTTTCACCTAAGTGGCATTTACTAAGCTCCTGTCCTGTGCTCAGGTCGCACTGAGTGTTAGTGGCTGATATGGGGCAGGGTACGAAAGAGGCGGCCTGTATCACAGGTACTCAAACTCTGGCTGAGTAGATAGGCCAGACATTTAACAAATTCTAAAAAACAACCGTATGCCTTCGGTACATGCCTATGGGGGGGCCCCAGAGATCCATCCAGCGAAACCTCAGGATGCCCCCTTTGGTGTTTACCCTCCACGACAGGGTGGCTGAGAGGTGTGTGCTGCCAGAGCGGGATGTCTGTGCAGAGGGCCAGCCAGGTCCCCTAGCAGTCCCAAGAGCATGCTGCAAACCAGGGGCTCAGGCAGTATAGTGTGAGACCTGGCCTGGAAGGGCCGTAATTTGCAGAGAGGCCCAGACATAGCATGTTCAGACAGTGATAAGTAGGCCTTTTCGGTAGAGCATAGAGTCCGCTGAGGGCCGAGGTTGGCATGGTCATGGCCGTGGAAGAGCTCTGCATAGATGAGTGACAGGACCAGCACAGGACAGAAAACAGACTTGAGCGATGGTCAGCCTGACTGCGTGCACTACAGTGAGGCGGGGAAGAGACGGGGCAGCCGGCTGGGCGTGGTGGTCGGGGGCACAGAGAGGACCCCATGGATGGATCTGCCTTGAAAACCTGCCTCTTTCCTCCCTACCAGTCAACTTCTTCTTGTGTTTTACAGATTCGGCCCGTTATTGAAAAAACCTTTCCTTTTTCTCAAGTTCCAGAGGCCTTCCTGAAGGTAGAAAGAGGACATGCAAGAGGAAAGACCGTAATTAATGTCGTTTAAATAAATACTCAGTGTGGTGACTGTTGGCTCTTATTTGGTGAGTGCCTCTGGGCCCAGACTTCTTTGTAACCGTTAATTTCCATGATAAAAGTTTAAAAAAGACAGACACCTTTTTGGCAGTAATTTATCTTCTGAACTAAGCACAGAGATTCATTTTATAGCCACCGCCACCATCTGCACATTACCCCACCCAGAGTGCTTTCTAGTACCCTCCCCGACAGCCATCGTTCCTGTTTGCCGAGAGTTCTCGGAATCAAGCAGAGGGGATACACAAGTAAGACATATGAAAATATCCACGCTTGGCCTTGTCTATAAATTGCAGTAAAGATGGCCAAGTTTTCTTCAAGCTGTTTTCACACCAGATTTTCTCATTGTTGTGTCCTCTTCTGTTCCAGTAGCTCAAACTATTCATGCGAGATACTAAAACTTCTGGCATATGGGTGGATGGCAGCGTGAAGAGCTTCCTTTAAAGCTGCTTCCTTCTTCAGAAGTGATTGATGAATCCAGCCGGGCAAGGTTTCCTTAGCTCCGCTGTGGTCATAGCCACCCTCAGAGCTCTGAATCTCTTCTTAGGGTCCTATATACAGTCTGGCTGGTGATTTGGTTGTTTTTTCTCAAGAAAATGAAAGGTGATGCTAGCGTTTCCAACTTTTTAAAAGCCTTACAATTTTGCATTAGGGCTAGGCATCTTTCAGCAATTGAAACCTGCTTCTCTGAGGACTTTTTGGTGGAAATTGAGAGCCCTTTCCAGTTTCTGCCTGTAAATGCCTACACTTAGTTATTTCACCAGTAAGCCCACTGCAGCTTTTGAATCTGTAGCGTGTGACAGGGCCTCATTCACTCAAGGTAAGGGTTTCTTTCCTGATGGGTTCCTCCTCATTGCCGCACCGGAACTGCTGGCTTGGAGCTTTGGACCTAGACTTGTCTGAGTAACTTGCTACCCGGCTTATTCCTGTTAGACGCTCATTTGGTCATGTAGGAGGAGGGTCTTCCTCTGGCATTGCTGGTCTCACCAGTACAAGTATTTCTGAAGAAAGAAAACATTACTCTCGTTGTCAGGACAGCCACTTTTGATTTCCATCTGAACAGGCTCCATGCTTGAGGGCTCCCAGGTGGTAGAGAGAGGGAGCGGCACTCCTGAGGGAGGACCTCACTTATCCTAATGTCCTCTCTGGGAAAGTGGAGTGTGCCCTCTCAGTGAGTGTCCAGCACCCCTGGAACCTGCCTCTTCCTCATCAGTCAGCCAGTTCTAATCTGCCCCCTGACTCGCTTTGAAGTGATGTGAGGGCTACTACTGCAAGGACTCTCGCAGATCTCATCTGTATAGTTAGCCAGAAGCAAGTTTATTCAAGAGAGAAATTCAACACAGGCGACTGTAGAATGTCTGACCCCAGAACCCTGTAGCAATCGGCACAAAGGCCTAAACTCAGAGCTGTACATCTGAGGAGCAAGACCGACCTGTTGGCAGCTGGTGCACATGTGCAAACATTACTTTAAAACTGGAGCTAAGCTCCTGACCACAACTGCCTACCTGAGCCTCCAGAGAGTAGCAACAGTTTAGCCGTGGAAACACACTGGGAACAGCTAAGAAGGAAACCAGGCTTGTTGTTCTTGTGATGAGAGCACCAGTGTTAACAAGGATAATGAAATAAGGACAAAAAAGAGGAGGAATCTATCCAAAGTAGGTCTAGCAGTTTTGTTCAAAACCAGAATGCGCTGTTTGAATAGCACCACGTGGGCCCGTATACTGTCGGCATTTAAACTCTGTCACTTTTCACTGAAATGCTGCATTTTTAGGCTTCCCCGAGTTCTAGGATTTGCATGAGCACTGCCTCAGGCCTCCTTTCCTTCGGTTCTGGAGAAGTGCCGGTCATCCTCCTGAGCCTCCCACATGGCTCCCTTCTGCTGTCAGAGCCCACGGGGCCTGCGACCAGAGCAGAGGCGGCCCCGCACGGGCCTCAGGAGACTGCGGGCCTGAGCCCAGCAGAGGGTCCTAGGACGTGGCTTCAGAACGAATTGTAGAGGAGTGAGGATGGACTGATAAACCAGGTCACGGTAATGCTGTTCCCGCAGTGGTCCCTAAGAACTGTGACATTTCAGGGCAGCACACGGTGGGTTAAAATAATCCAAATCCTGCTAATAATGTTAGCGGACATGATGTGAAATCTTCTAAATTAATGTTTAGTACTAACAAAGAAAATAGTATTGTGTTTATTTAGTTTCTTAAAATTGATTCTAGAAGCCTTTCCCCATTTTGCTCTATAGCATAATTAATAATTCCAGAAAACAGAAGGACCAAAATTACTGTTATTTCTTCTCAGATGCTAACCAGTCTCCTGCCTTGCAGACTTGAGCTTTTATTCTTCCCTCTAAAGTGTAAGATTGGTGGGCCCACAAATCCTGTCCAAAGTCTATTCCTAGTCTCTGCTGTCGCTATCTTTGGAAATAATTTAAAATGTACATAGTCCTGATATAACATTTTTTTAAAAACACCCAAAAGCTGCTAATGAGGCAACCTGTTAAGCAGCTACTGAAGGAAACGAACGAAAGGCAGGAAATGAAAGAAGGACAAACTGTTGGTTTAAAGCTATTACAGTCTTTTGAAAAAAGATGAGACGGTAGTCCTGGTCATGGCAGTGTCACTCAGGGGAGGATTTAGAGTTTCTGAAGGAGCAGCGGGCCCGCTTTCGTCTTGCTCTCTGTCAGTTGTGTGTGTGTGTGAAGCAGCTGGAAGACCTCCATAAGTGCACAAGTACTCCTGCGTTCTTCAGTCAGGTCTACAGGACCATGGCTTCCCACACTTGTGTTAGCTTCTCGTTGCTCACAGTGTTGAGGATAATGTGATTTTGGTCATAGTGCGTACCTCCTGAAAGAAAGAAAAGGAAAATAATAAAAAGGAAATGTGCCTGTAGGAAACAAAGCAGGGAGGAAAGCCCTGGAACCCGTCCCTGGGCTGAGAGGATGATTCAGTTCTGGGTTGTGTTAAAATCCCATCATATGGGTACCAGCAACTCCACACAGGATGTGCTAAACCTCCCAGGGCTCCTTTTCCTACTCAAGTCTTATTGAAAGGTAGTCTACACCCACTCTTTTAGGTGTCTGAAACGGACAGGGGGGTGGTGGGGAAGATGATGGAAGAATCTAGAGAAGGGAAGAGGAACAAAGAGATTGTGAAATATACTCAGTGATGGGATTGTGGATTCACGATACCAGGGCTTAGGAGTAGATGGAACAGATTTTGCATGAAAAATGGCCATATCAAGGCAAAGGGGAGGTTTGAAAGACACCCAGATCCTGGGAACTCATATAAAGATTCATAGCACTTGATACTGAGTTTCACTGTAATTTAAACTCCTTTCACCAGAACATAAGAATTTTTTCCAAGGGTGCCTACTAGATGCTTAGTTGAGTGTTTAAAAAAAAAAAAACAAAAACAAAATAAAACGAAAAACCAACCTCACGGCCTTTTCTTTTGATGCGAAGTATCCTAAAGAAAAGATTATCTGATTTTTTTTTCCCCCAGTGTAGAATAAATAGCATTTCAAATACCTTATCCTTTCTTAGCATAAGCCTCTGCATCAAGGTATATTACAGGGACTCCATCGAAATAAAAATCTGTTCCTCTAGATATGAGGCAGTGTGACTGGTATTGAAATCATACTGCATCCTCAAGCCAAGAAAAATTAAATGTTCTTTTCTCTTTTAAGCATTTACAAAATATACAGGAGGATTATCCAGGAAACTTAGACAACTCTTACAAGAAATCCATTTATCATCATTGATAATCTAGAGCCTCTACACATCTAGGTGTAGGATAGAATATAAGAGCAAGGTGCCTGGGCCTTTATGTGTAAGTGTGTACTGGGGGGTGGGGGTGGGGGAGTTATCACCACCAGTAAATCCCACTGTCTAGTAAGACACACGAACTATATTCCATTGAGATTTGGGGATGTATTAAGATCACAGTGTTTTCTTGCTTCATTCTTTATACCATAATCTTGGAATCATAAAGCCTAGAAGAAAGTCCTAGAGAAATCCTCTGATTTCATTCTGCCTTTGGGGAGGAAGGAGATCATCCCAACCTTCTGATGTTTTTAGTTTCTATTGCTGTCATGTCAGGGGTCTGAAGTAATACATGATGTTTGCCAAAACAACTCCCTCCCCAGACCCAGGAGCTAAGTTACAAGAAATCTAATAAATCTTAGGGCAAGGTCAGCAGCAGGTAACAAAGGGTTCAAAGGCTGTAGCTGATGAAAATCCTAGTCTTCTTTAAGTGTACCAGAGAGCTATTTGTATTTCCCTTGCACCAGTGGGGGCTGTGCAGTCCTACTCCCTCATGCCCACAAGATGGCATCACTCGCCCACGTTCTGAGAAATCTAAATTCAGTTTACCAAAGTAGGGAGACTAGTGCCTCCACCCTGCATAGATACACTGAGCGTTCACAAACATACAGAGATCTATCCTTACTCAAAAGGCACTGGACTAACTTATAATGCATTTTATGAGGAAGGGTCCTTCGAGCTTTAAAGCCCTAAGGAGGAAGCTCCTGGAGTTCCACAGTTCTTGTCAGTCACGACTCGAAGCCAGGCATCCATACTCCTTGTCAAGTACCAGTGTGCTTGGAGCTTCTGTATGGAAGCTCTCTGAAGCCAAGATAGTATTTTTCCTCCCCTTTGGGACCCAGTGTCTAGCCAAGAGTGGGTACCCCAAAAGAACATGTTGAGAGAATTAAAAGAATGCTCTAGAGACTAGTTCATAAGGATTATAGGAACCTCTTAACCTTGACACAGGAAACCGACTACATAAGAAATAGGATTCCATTTTTTTTTTTTAAGAATGTTTCCAATTTAGTCACATTTCTTTGTTTTTGAAACTCTATCTTGTAAGACCAAGGAGCTCTAGTTCAACAAGGTGATACATGCATATGCATGAGAATCCTCAACTAGACTCACTGAGGTCAGGGCCTTTTGTGATTTTAGTCTAACACTATTACAATAAAATCAATTTTTAGTCAGCCTAGGTCCAGATTCCACCTCAGGAGTTAGATACAGGACTGCGATTGGCCCCTCTGAGTCTCACTTTTGGGCTGTAAAATGGGACAGGCTTACATGGGGCTGGTAGTGTTGCTGGGAAGATCCCGGGAGATAGGATGTATGTAGAGTGTTCAGCACAGTGGCTGGCACACAGGAAGGGATCTCTATATTAATATGCTCATTTAAAAAAATATATATAATCTTTGTTACGTACACAAACAGAAAATAAAGGAAACGATTCTTACCTTTGACATCTAAAACTAAATTTGGTTTCAGCTTGCTGTAGATCCTGCCATCCGACTTCATGCTCCAGAACTGACTGTCGGCATTCTGGTCGAGGGCTAGGCCCAGTTTAGAGCCAGAGGTCACGAGGCTCCCCACGATCGTGAGGCAGCAGTCTTCCGCTATCTGCTTATGGAAAAGACAAGGCAGCTTAGAGGTGGAGACGCGTTCAGGGATCATGATTATTCAAGTTGTCTTAATTGTTAGCTTCATTTACCTCACGTGAGACATTTCAGCTTTAGCCAGAGGAACTAGGATCAAACAACAAATACTTATGCCTTCATTTCAGGTGACATGAGTGCTGGAAAGTTCTCCATTCTTGTCCTTTGTAAGATTTCTGCCCTTTGTGAGTCGGGGAAACCTTTAGAACACTAGTTGTCTCTTTCAGAAATGACCACCATCAGAGGCTGCGTCTGTTGCTAGATCTTCCCTGACCTAGCCATCTCTGATCAGCCTGCCCCTTCTGGAAGGGGACTGCATCTCTAATCTGAAAGGCTGCCGTAACAATGAAGTAGCTTAAAGGGCATTTAATTATTTTAAAACTTGAAATTCCACTTACTCTTGTCTTTCCTTCTGGAGAAATGTCTATAGAAATTTCTAAAAAGGCCTGCACTCCAACTATAAAAATAGCAAGGATAAAATACACATGCAGTGGAGTGTTGTAAAGATTTTAAGGGTCCTTTTCTGAAGTGAATCTACCCTTTACATATAAGCAGTGGATAGTCATAGGTTCACATGATATTAATACACCTTGCTTACAGATGTAAGTGCTTAGGAAAAATACACTCTATAGGAGATAAAAAGAGGGATCATCTAGGACACTTTTTCTCACTGACCTTAGTGAATTTACAGGTAATATCACTAAAATGTTTCTTAGGATTGCTGAAAGGCAGTTTTCTTGAATTGTTTAAGATAATTAGAAGACAGAAGTTGGCTGCTTTTATGCTTCCGTAGTCCAGTTACTTCTGTTTCTCCTGCTGTTTCTTCTATGCCTGTCTAAACAGTACTTCTGTTGACTGAAAGAATGATTGTCCCTCAAGCACAGAGCACAGCAGACCCAGTTAATAAGCTGTGCTCCCCTCCACCAGGCTGTAGGCCATCTGCTGACTCATGGGGCCCCAAGTTAAAAAAAAAAAAATCGGGAGCGAATAGTCAAGCCCATAAAATCAAGAAGGAGTTAAAAAGAATATCTACAACAGAAGCGTGAGCTTCTCTAATAAAGTCTTTTACTACATGCAGCTTTACCATGTCTTGTACAGCAGGAGTGATGCAAGAGGGAGATGGACCATTTTCCATTTAACATGGTATGACAATTAGGAAATTGTTGTACATTTCCTAACATTAGGAAGTGTTGTACAAAGGGTGTTCCTTTTTTTTTTTTTTGCCCCAGTCTGCGGGGTCTTCTGAAATAAACCAAGAGTGATTTGCACTTACAGTGCTGGGGCTTACTGAAATAAACTATAATTAAGTAGATTCAGGAAAAGGCGAGAATAACACAGATGCTTCCTTCTATCACCAGATAAAAATCAGGCATGAATGTAAATATTCCATTTTGGATCAGTACTAGATTCTCCTCCGTTTTAAGTTCCCAGACTGGTTCTATCAGCTAAAAAAAAATATTTTCGTGGAAAACCTAATTTATTTCTGAAAGTGTTCCCGGAATTGTGAAATAGCATCTACTTCAAGAAAAATGCTATTCCAAACCCTTATCTGATCCTAAAAGCTCACCCTGCATTTGATGCATCCTTCTTGATAAATCCAAATCTGATCATCAGCACCGACATCCTCCATGACCTGTATTCTAAGGAGCTTCAGATCCTCTAAGTTTCCATTGGTGGACATGAATAAGCCTGTTGCTTTGTTTCGAAGTCTGAAATAAATTCGTTTCTGGAAGACAAGGACCCCGGCAATAGTCACACACAGGAAGTACTGTGAGGAGCACAGAATAAGCATCAGCAGCAGGGAAGGAATCAAAGGTGAGGCTGGACTAGGGATAATTGCGACATCCCTCAGATTGGGAGGCGACCAAATCTCATACTTAAAACTGAAACTAAAAAGTTGAATTACATTTACAAAATAAAAAGAAAAGAAAATAATTTCAGAGAAAAAAGCATATTCAAAGCCTGGAAAAGGAAAATAAATACCTGAACAAAAGGTCGTAGAGAACCTATCTGGCGGCAACCACTGAACTTGTACCAATTCGGGACTTCCGCTGGTGACAGTAGGAACTGTCGACCCCTGTAATTGCCGTATTCATAAGTAACCCATCTGGGAAAAAAAGTAGAAAACCAGAGTAAGTGGCAATATCCATTTGACAGTTGGCCTTGATTATTTTTAGAGTACTTCCCATTCTTACACTGAACTTTATTCTTTAAATATACATTGGGGTGGAAAAGGAAACTATCTTATTTTCTAAAACACTTAAAGCACTCATTTCTTGACAAGTAGGAGATTCTTGGTCCATGAGTATTTATGCCACAAAGATCCATTCCTGAATGGAAGCAGGTGAGTCTTTCCCTCTAATAAGGCAATGACATGCAGTCCTTTCCACAGGGCTGCCCCGTTTTTCCTGTGAGGCTTTTGTAAAAACATTTTCAGTTGTAATACTTTATTTAAATAGTTACTATTTGTAAAATTCTTAGTGTGTGGCACATGCTAAGTATTATATAAGGGTTAAATAAAATAACTCAATAAAGGTTTATTTAAGACAAGTGTAATCTTCCTCAGTCCAGAAAACTGCTGAGGATACTCTGGTCTCTCTGCCCGAAGATGCTGGCGTCCACACCTGAAGAAGTATGGGTTCTGGCACACACTGGCATGCGGGCAAGCCAGCAGCCTTTCCTGTCTGGCTGATTTATGATATCAATGAGGAATGTTCTCTACTCTTAATCCTGGAACTCTAAAATGTTATCATCTTAGACATTTTATCATAGAAACAAAATATTAATTAAAGCTTTTCTGGGTGGGGGTGGAAATCACCCATTATTCTACCACCATAGTAATCCATAATTTTTTTCAAAAAATTTTATTTATTTATTCATGAGACACAGAGAGAGAGGGAGAGGCAGAGACACAGGCAGAGGGAGAAGCAGGCTCCATGCATGATCGACGTGGGACTCGATCCCGGGTCTCCAGGATCAGGCCCTGGGCAGAAGGTGAGCCACCCAGGCTGCCCCATAATTGTTTTTAAATAACTAGGCCGGCCCCTCCAATACCTGATGCATACAGGTGGATTATACCTATTGTTTTTATGGGGGAAAGAAAAATGCTTTCTTAAAAATATATTACATGGATAGTCCTTATTCATTTTTATATCTTAATTTCGAAATTTTTCAAAATTCAGAAAAATCTTCCCACGTTGACCTTTAATCATTGTGCACAGCATCTGCTAATCATTCCTAGGTCAAGGAAAATCCCAACCCTACTCCAAAGCCAAAGGACTTGGTCTATCAAAGGGATAAGAAAAATCAGCTCCTTTTCTTAGTTAAAAAAAAAAAGTGCTCAGTATATTTACTGAGCACTAGTTTGCAAAGAATTCCCCTAAGAACTTGAGAGGAGCTTAAGACAAAGTCCTTACCTTAAGTAAATTAAAAATCTGGATGAAGAGAGGAAAGCGACCTCACATGTGGCTTTTCTCAATGGAAAAACTGTACTATGAAGGTGCATAATTATTAACCCTTACAGAAAATAAAGGGATAAGAGGTTCTGTTTCAGTTTGCTTAAGGTAGCGCAGGAAAGACAAATGATCAAACCTAATTGGTAAAAATCAAATATTTTAATGAATAAAAAGCAGGTAACTCACATGCCACCAATCACCTGAACAGAGCGTATCTGTGTGTTGAATCCTAGGGATCGGAGATTAACTACTTCTGCATTAAGTTCAATCTTCTTTCCTTTGAAGTCTTCTCTTTCAAAAAGAATAATTGTTGGTTCAGAAAATTCCTGTCGAGGAACAAAAATAGTTTCTGTCACTCAGCTTTGACAATAATTTGGACTTCTACAGAAATAATCTCCTTAAGGGACAACTTGTAAGGTGGGACCAGGCTTAGCCTGTCCTAAAGCACCTTTCCCTGGAGGTCCGAGTGTTCCTGTACTCCAAAACAACAGGGAGGAAGGGTGGAGGGGCAGGAAAGTTTCTACTGCATAGGAAGGTAGGTAAATATAATGGGGTTTTAAAGCGGGGAGGACATATCCTAGGCACAAAAATATGGATATCTGAATCATCAACACTTGTCATTTATTTCTAATTTTGCCATTTTTTTTTTTATTGGGGATAAGGAGGGGCTAGGGAGCCATGTTCGGAAATGGTGAGGGCAGTGGCAATCTGGAGTCTAGTGGTTCAGTGGCAATGACCTAATCAAGGAATCTTCCCCTTGTATACGTTTTTCTTTCTTTCTTTTTTAATACTTTATTTAAATTCAGTTTGCCAGCATATAACAACCAGTGCTCATCCCATCAAGTATGTATGAATTTTTCAAATGCCTTTTTTGTTGTTGTTTTAATTTTAAGTCAACAGTGTTCCCAAACTTTCCTGTAGGAATAATTGTTAGAAGGAGAGAAAACAAAACCAAACCAGGGTGGAAGCCCCCTGTTCAAGCCATCATTCATTTTTAAGAGGACAAGAGCACAGACATCCACTGATTTTCAGAAAATAAAAAGCTGGCAGCTTATGCTTGTTTTCCAAATTACAGACCCTTATGACCCTAGTCTAAGCTCTAATGATAATAATCCTAAGATCATAAATAATACATCAAAAATTCCGTAGTCACTTAAAGTTTTGTGGTTAGGGTGTGGCAACTTACTGCTTCATTTACGTGGATGTGCCCCGACGTGTACAAAGATTTCTGTCGAGCAGTAAACAGAGCAGATGAGTATATAGAGGTGGTTTGTACGTGTAAGAATGAGGTTATATAAAATATATAAGGAAACGACATAAGTAGCAAAAGTGGCGTGAGCATATATTCCAAGTACTAGTTGATTTGAAGACTTGACAACTGACATGCATGTGGTGTGTGTGTGTGTGTGTGTGTGTGTGTGTGTGTGCGCGCGCGCGCACTTATATATAGATTTGGAGATAGCTTTTAGACTCCTAAGCAAGTTAAATATCAATGTTTTAGATATTTTATTGTTTATAAGCTAATGAATCTTCCACATCATTCCAAGTTTCTCTGCTACTATTTTCACATCTCAAGAAAGGTCAGCATTTTAGTTATTTGAATAGGCAGGGAAGGATGAGCTAAAGCCACCTCCTGTATGCTCTTCCTACTTTTAAAACTCACGTCACCAACTACATGTGTTTAAGGCTTCTTATGAGAGATCAGCTACAAAAAGACAAGTATTTCTACAACTACAGATAGACATATCTGGACTTGAACCTCTGCACTCTATCTTGATGTTTTGTTCTACTGAACATTGCTTGGGCTACATCAAAATGAAAGGTTTCTGTTCAAAAAGGGAGACTATCATCTGAATTAACACATATGTGACGCACTGGGAGAAGATGTGATTGCAAGTCCTTAAAACAACAAAGCGATTTAAAAGCCATGAGGGGGAACAGCCTGGGTTGCTCAGCAGTTCAGCGCTGCCTTCAGCCCAGGGCGTGATCCTGGAGACCCGGGATCGAGTCCCACGTCGGGCTCCCTGCATGGAGCCTGCTTCTCCCTCTGCCTGTGTCTCTGCCTCTCTCTCTCTGTGTCTCTCATGAATAAATAAAATCTTTAAAAAAATAAAAAAATAAAAAAAACTATGAGGACTTTCTGTGACTCAGTAAAACAACAAAAGACACAAGACCTTGTAACAAAAGATAAACAAGACCTTGGCAAAGGATATAAAACAGGCAGTTCACTGAACAGCAAACCCAAGGGACTAATTCGTATGTGAGATACCGGTCTCACTAACAGTGAAACATAACACAAGATGATACTTTCAAGCCAATTTCTTCAAATTGATGAAAATGAGAGAATTCCCAGTAATGGCAATGACGTAGAAACCAGGAACCCACATGCTCTCTTGGTAAGGATCTCAAGTAGTGGAATTTGGCAGTGCCTAGAGAAATTCATGCACGTGCAATCCAGCAGACCCACTCTTATTTATTTTTTTTATTTTTTTATTTTTTTTTAGATTTTATTTATTTAGTCATGAGACACAGGCAGAGGGAGAAGCAGGCTCCTTGCAAGGAGCCTGATGTGGGACTCGATCCTGGACCTCAGAATCACGACCTGAGCCAAAGGCAGATGGTCAACTGCTAAGCTACCCAGGCATCCCAGATCCACACTTTTAAAATACATACCCCCAGGAGACTTCACACAGGTCAACAGGGATATATGTGTGTGTGAGAGGATTAAGTAAAATAAAATATGGTGATGAATACTTTAGCCAATTAGAATCAATAAACTGGATGTACATTCAGCATAATGGGCAGCTCTTAAAATTTTTTTAATGTAAGTATTGGGTTTATAATGATGAGAACTATAGTATCATACTGTATATAAATTAAAAGCCAGTAGTTTTTTTAAAAACACACTTAAGAATATCTGAGCTGTATCCCATACACGTCAGAATGGGTGCCCGTAAAGGAGAGAGGCATAGAAACAGGGATCGGGCATGCAATGGAAAAAAACAAGATAGGAAAGGGACCTTGAACTAATCCTTGATGACTGTGCCATGGCTGACTCAACACTCTACACCTGAAGTCTGAGAAAACAGCCAACCAAATCACCTTCTATGCCAAAGATCTAAAAAGAGGGGCGCATGGGTGGCTCAGTCGGTTGAGCACCTACTTTTGTCTCAGGTCGTGATCTCCAGTCCTAGGATCAAGCCCCATGTCAGGCTCCCTGCTCAGTGGGGAGTCAGCTTCTCCCCTCCCTCTCCCACTGTGCTCACTCTCTTCTCACTTGCTCTCAAATAAAATCTTTAAAAAAAAAAAAAAAAGATCTAAAAAAAGGCCAAAACATCACAGGAAGCAAAGTTCTACTACAACTGTTTTCTCTGCCTCTGACTTTAAGTCCTGAGGAAGCCTACCTGTGCCCCCATCAGCTGTCTGAGCCCCACATCTCTGTGACACCTTATTCACACGGACATACTTACAGCATCTATAAAACGAAGAGACTTGAAAGTTGCTCCAGGCAGGCATCCCATTGCAGAGAGACAAGGATAGTGGCCTTCTTCCAACACGTACTGATTACCAGAGAAATTTTCTCCATCATACGCAACCCAGCTACGATAGGAAAAACCACATATATGTAGAATATGTAATTTGAATATTCCTATTCAGGAAGTCTGATTTTGAGAGGTAGCCTGTTATAAAGCACAATGCGTATAGCTAACTGTTCTTTCTTCAAAAATATCTAGGCCTATTTACTGCTTTCCATCTTTGGCAAATTAATATTCATAAGAAGTCAGCTGTCAGTTTGGCATTTGGGAAACTATTTTTTTTCTTCCTCCATGAAATTATTCATGTTTTTGCCTGTGTACCTTCCAGTATTCCTCGGCCCTCTCCTGGGTGCCACCATTCTTCAGCCCGAGTCCTCTCTGAGTAATCCTTCAACCTCCGCAGCTAGTGGATCTACTGATTTCCTCCCCAAATTTCTCTTTTATCCTCATTTCCAGCACCTCTGTACTGGGCCAGGAGTCAAAATACCACAGCGACTTAGACAAGTCATTTAGCCCCTCCGGGCCTCACCAGTGTCAGTAACATGGTGATTTACCATGCTTCCCTAGAAGAGATGGGGTTTTTTGGTTCATTCTTTTAATCCAACAAGTGCTAACTGAGGATTAATTGTGTGTGTCAGGTACTTCTCCATTGCTGGGGACAGAAGAGAAGATAAAATCCCTGGTACCATCAGGTTTACACTCTAGTTAGCTGAGGCAGACAATAAATGAACAACAAAAGTACCTAGCTGGTACTAATAAGTGAAGCAGACAGGGGATAAAGAGGAACTGGGACAGAGACGGAGGTGTGTGCTAATAAACTGGACTTTTACTGTAAATTTGTGCACTTGAATGCTAAGACAGTGCAGTTTCCACTGTGCAATGCTAAATGATAGGCTGGTGCTGTTGAGACCATAAAGAACTATATGATTAAAGGTACCATTACTATTATTACTATTATTATTATTAGACTTAATTCCTCATCATCTGCACAGATGGCTTCAAGAGTTTTCCTGACCAACTTTCCACGACCTTGGGCTCTCCCCTCCTTCTAAAGCCTTTGTAAAACTATTTTCAGCCCAGCACTTCGAGCTCATTGCCTTTCCCTTCTTGTGTTTTCTGTGGCATCCATCTCTTACACTCAGGGGTAGCCTTCATGATCTGATCCCACCTTCTCCACAGTACAAAGACCTCTCAGCTCTGGGGTGTCGTGCTCCTTGATCACATACACACCAGCTCCACGCCAGCCATGTACTGCCTATCATGCAGAATGCCTATCCTATTCCAATCTACCGTTAAAAAAAAAAAAATCTACCTTGAGAGGCGTCTTAGAGATTATTTAGAGTCCTGGTACAGGTGACAGGACAGGCTAGAGAGCAGAGAACTGGGTCTGAATCACATTGTCCGGTGATGTGATTCCATGTCACCCTCTGATGTCCGGCACTCAGATGCTGCAAAGCACAGTTTAGTACTAACAGGGCCTTGTCTCGTTCGGTGGTTTTGTATAATATCAAGCAGCTAAAGGTGTCACTAAATACTTGCTGATACGTGAATTCTAACCTTTTGCAGCAATTAGGCTCCTCCAGCCCACTGTTTTACTTACCTCCCTCCTAAAACTCTGCAAGACTTGGTAGAGAACGAATCATCAATTTGACTTGTTGTTTCTTCAAAACCTTGACTGCGACCTTGAAACTGTGGTTCTGAAAACAACTGAATCTTTGAAAAAGTAAACAGAAACACGTGAAATTATTTTCCTGAACACATTAACTCCTTCAGCCTTTGAAGTGATGCAAACATGACCTGTTAACTCTTGTTACAATAAACTACTATGAATTTTATAAATCCTTTAATTTTCTATTTCTACATTAATGATCAATTAGAAATACTTTGGCTGCACCATTCATGCTTACTTAATTCAGAGACATCAAAGGACAAGCCAACAATAGAGGCCGGTTTCTATAGAACACCCTGTTGCGACAAGCAGTGAGGCATTTTAAAGCTTTATTGTGGTCAAAAGTAATTGTTCATTAGTTCTAACATTTACAAGAAACTTTATTTTGGAAACATAGTATGGTTTTCCTCCCTCTCAATGGAAGATACTTGCTGACTTATTGGAATCTTGTGTATGCCAATAAAGGAGGCTACAGTGGTGTTTGTGCCTCTGTAATTAGGGCTGTCTGAACTCTGAACACTTCCATTAAAAAGCCTAAATGACAAATGTAACACTTCAGTTGATGCAGACAGTCAGCACTCAAAGGCTTGCGTGAGAGACCATATAAAAGAGACCATATAAAATGTTTGTCTAATGCAGACGCAGCAAATATGAAAATTCATTTTACTGTTTATCACAATAACTATGTATTGTTTGAAATATTAATCCTAGCTTACTAATATAAACTGATCGGTATAATGATATCAAATTCAACTTTATATAAATAAGAACATTTTGTAAGACATTTAGATATGGGTAAGTGCTATCAAGCATTTATAAAGGAAACCAAAATCTTATTTTATTTTATTTTATTATTTTATTTTATTTTATTTATTTTATTTTATTTTTAGTTTTTCCAAAATCTATTTTAAAATACAATTATGCTCTCTGGTATAAAAATGGGTAAAAACTAACAAAATGTCCCAAATGCCTCACATTTTACACATAAGATCAGCTTTTCAGCAGAAGCCCCTAATTATAATAGATTATTTTTTAAGTTACCTGATTTCGTCTCCTTGGACCAGTGAAAGAATCCTAAAAATTTTTAAAGGGAAGAGAGAAGGACATGAATAGACTGGACATATCAAAAAAGTTCTTTCTTCCAGCTCATGAGCAATTACTGTTAAAAATAATCTCAGAACAGTTTCTATCGTGTTATGTATTACATAAATTAGAAGTCTACATTGAGGAAATCCAGAATTCAGTTAAATATTCCCATATGAAAGTATAACTCCTTACCAAACATATGGGTTGAACAGAAGAGATCTTACAATTTTTGCCTCCCCAGTCCTCAAAACTGGTATAGAAGCCTTTATCCAGTATGTATTGTTCTCCCGTGAAGTCAGGATTCTCATAGGCTACCCACCTAAAGAAACAAAAACACTGACTTGTTATCGTTTGTACTTTTTTTTTATATAGTTTGTACTTTATATGTATAATAAAATTACCAACCCACTTAGGCAAATATGTATCATAAGAAACTTCCATTTGTTTTCGTAATCAGCCATCTTAATTTTTCTAATTCTCTATTAGTCTCTTGGGAGACTTGTCTGTATGAGTTCAATTGAAGTGACAAGTGAAAGTATATTTACTTGAACCTTTTGGTGTCCTCACTTATCAAATCCTAGTCCCTGAGAAAGCCCCAGTGGGGGATATTTGTATTTCTTTCTAATTCTATTCTGAGGAAACCATCTGGACTTCCAAGAAGTACTTGTAAAGTTCTCTTAGTAAGCAAGCAAGAGTTTTTTTTTTTTTTTTTGTTATCGACATCTGTATTTTTCCAGAAAGATTACAAGAAACTACCTCTCTGTTATACAACAAATCACACTGAAAAAAAAGTTGACCAAAGAAATGCTTTGGAAAAAGTACAGCAAGGGGAAACAGCATGTGCCAAGGTCCAGAAATGAGACAGACTCTGGTGTATTGGGAAACTCTAAGAAATTGGGAATTACTGGAGAAAAGGAGACACTGAGTGGGGGAGGGGCTGAAGCTGGAAAGGAAGAAAAGATCAGAGGCACAACAGAAGTATAATACCTCTATTACAAATCATGGCAACTTCAGTCTTTGAAAAACACATTCTTCAGGTTGGCATGTACACACAGAGAGATAAGAACTCTAACATTGTGTGCAGGAAATTCAAGCCAACGTGAGTAGTGAACTACCCTTGAGTTTAAATATTATTTAAAACACTAAAATAAAGATGATTAGTAATTATGCTACCTTGATATCATATGTAATCATCTTTTTATATGGTACATTGGTTGAAGTTCAAGAACTGGTTACCTTTATAAACACATTGCTCTTCTTTTTGCAAGGTCATCACAACAGTTCAAGAATTATTTGGGTTATAAGTTTTGTTTCCTATGCAAAAATTAACGATTTTAGCCAAGCTGATTATAAAACAAAAGTCTCCGTATCCTGAGTGGACTTCCGTCCATTTGCATGATAAAAAATTGCTCCAAATTTACCATTAAAAAAAAAAAACAACAAAAATACAGCTAAGTAATTAAAATTTTATTTGGAATAGGATTTCTGTCGTGATGTGTCTATGCACAGTAAGCAAAACTGAACAAACACTCAGATAATAAAATCTCTTCTGGGATGTTTTCTTTTGTTGCCTCGCAAGTGACCTACACTCAGAGGATAATCAACAAAACCAACTTATTGACGTGAAGCTACTTTCTAGCCAAAGATAGTCTTTAAAAGGTTTTCACTTCTGTTATATTCAAGAGCTAACTCAGCGTCTCCTCCTGAGTTCATCTGCTGCCCTACTGATCTGCTCACCGCTAAAAGGAATAATACCTATATGCCTGCATTTATACTCAAAACTTTCCAAAATGCTTTCATATCTATGACCCCACTTAATCCATTTTACAGAAAGGAAAACCTTAAGACACAGAAAAGTGAATTCATTGATTCTTTCAACAAACGTCACCTGGCCATTTATCATGTGCCAGGAACTAGATGGCACTCGGCATGCAAGGATGAAAAAGACGATCCTTGCAGAATTTACAGACAGCTGAGAAGTATCACAAGGAATTATTTGTTGGCATTTTCTGAGTGGGGAATAACTTGTCCAGGGTGACACAGCTGATTAGTGGCCAAGGATGACTGGGCCATGACTGTGTTTCCCAAGGCTCCCCATGCTCTTTCATGACCCAGGCTGCCATTTCCCCTATCAGGTTTCCTTTCATTTATTCTTCCATTGAGCCACACTTAAAACAGTCCACACACTTCATAACTAGAACAGATTATGATTATACTGCCAAAGGGGCTTGACCTTAGACAAAAACTCAAATACAGGCATTATTTAGGAAATGAACAGCAACCAAGGAGAAAAAGAACACTGCAAAAATCTCCAGGATCAAGTAGCTTATAATGGCTAACGTCTGTACGTGCACTTCCGACCATCTGAACAGAGTAAGTCTTCCAGACTGGAAGACCAGTCAGCCCATTTCAGAAAATACTGCTCCCCACTTCAGAACCTCATTAGCAGTTTTTAAGACCTATCCTTTAGCATGGTGAGGTGAGGAGTTAGGAGACCTCATTCCAGCTATGGTCATGACATTCACTTCCAGATAACTTTGAAGGGGTCACTTAATCTTTGTGAAAGATTGTATTTTCATTTATAGGTAAGGAGGTTGGCCAGGATCCCAGTGCTGACCTCGTGTGAGGTTATACAGCTCCTGGGAGCCTGGGTGCACTGCCTTTGCTCACATGGCCTTTGGCTTGTGAAAAGAAGTGACAACTAAGTAAGAGCATGGAATCCAACTGTGTGAGGAGGAATATCTGCACAGCAAGAGTATATACAAAAACCAGGATGAAAGAAAGGAAGGAAAAGAAGGGAAGGAAGAAAAGAGAAGAGAGAGGGAAAAAAAGAGGTTAAGTCATATCAGAAAAAAGTATTCCTGGCAGGCTCTGTATCTGTAATAAGTTACAGAATTTACAGGTGGCTGAGAAGTATCACATGGAATTATTTGTTGTTTGTTCTGAGTGGGGAGTGACTTGTCCAGGGTTAACAGAGGGTTAAAAGGCCTTTTTTTGCTTGATTGCCTTCCGGTTTGGAGGGGAAAAGGCTGTGAATGGGAAGAGATGGAATGGAACACAGGAGAGAAGGCAGCTCAGCAAGCCTGGGAGGAAGCTTTAATCCAGCTTCTTTAGTCCTTTAACAAAAATCCAGATTTTTTTTTTTTCAAATCACTAACAAGTGAGAATGCTCTATTTCCCTATAAAACTAAAATAAATCACTTGTAAGGAAACACCCGACACCACATAAACTTATCTAATTCATGGAGGTTAAAACAAACTACTTGTTAAGATGTTACTTGAATTGACAGTAGTGTTCTTTTCCTTCCAAGATGCAGCCCCAGATGCATCACCCATTAATAGGAGGGTTAAAAAAAAAAAAACAAAAAAACTTAGGTATGAGATTCTTGGGTATACCTATAACTCATACTCGAGACTCGTAAGAAGAAGATTCCTTACTGTCCTTGTTTAAACATATTCTGTACACATGAATCAACACTTCTCGTTTATAGGGGTGGTGGGGAGAGAGCGAGTACAAGTACCAGCAGGTCCCAGGCTGCTGCAATCACTGCTCGGAGCTTAAGGGTGGCAGGGCAGCCTGGCCCTTCCGTGGAAGGGAAAAGGAAAAAGAAATTCAAACAACAGCACTTTTAATTTTTTAAGCTGGACTCTAGAAATATTTCCTTTTGTTCTTAATCTTAAAAAAAGTTAGCTCCGTTTCCGCCATTTGAACAAGATAGCACAACGTGAAAATGATGAGTAGAGCTGGAATAGGGAGTGTCTCCTGATGTTGCAATAGAAGCGGAATCCAGTTCTCAAAACCTCAGTTGGATTCATGAGCATCCTTCCCGAAGGCTGGTCTCTGAGCTAAACATGAGTTGACTGCCGGGGAATTTATTGCCCGTGTGATAGGAGAGTGCACCTCCTGGGAGACACCCAGAACAAGAACCTCAAAAAGGTTTCCTGTAAAGTTTTCGGGTTCCATCCTGAGAGGTGAGGAACCAAAGTAAAATTCTTATTTACCAAGAAGAATAAAGTCATTGAAATCATTCTTCTTTGAAACCATTAAAATCAAAGAGGCTAGTCTTCCTCCCTCGTGTTGGCACACCTCGGCCTCCCTAGCCCACAAGGACCAGGTCCCACGCCAGCTCTTGGGCCAAAGTCTTCCCGGTGTACAAACTGGAAAGTAACCTCTCTCTGCTCAGTAGATTCCCGGAGCACGTAATCTCCAGGTCTTTCGTGGCGATGATTATGTTTTATATGAATACTGTAACCTCTGTGAGGACACCATACAATGCTTTGCACATAACAGACCTCAGTAGGTATTTGTCCAATAACCAACCCAGTGAACCGCGAGGAAGCAGCTGGTCCTGGTTTACAGAAGCCCTTCTACAACCACACAATTTAAAAGGAAGTGGTGGTGATGGGGGAGTGATGTGTGCACACCTCCTTTCAACTTCCCCCAGTACCACAACTCAACTGCTATAACCAGAGAGAAAGCCTGGCAGGAAATACAACTCTAAAGGACTAAAAATCGAAACCTATAAAAACAACGTTTTATAAAGGAAACTGACTTCAAGTAAACAAAAACTGGATTAAAAAAAAAAAAAAGAAGAAGACTGGCGCTGGGCACGAGCATAATGTACATAAATGCCCTAAGGGAACGCTACCCGGCTTCCTCCTGCTTCCTCTGCTAGCATGACTGGACTCGGACTCATGCCACTGATACACCTGTGAGCTCCAAAGCGTACAACTGTTTTTCGAGACTGAGTCGGTCACTATTTTCCTTCTAAATAGTGAACTTTAAAGGTAATCTCAAATACTAGAGGGCCGTGGCAACATTTCAGATGACTTCTGCTGTACCATACCTTTTGTCTACAGCAGATTGTAAAATGTTAGGGCTCCATGGCAGGACCCAGTTAGGAGGCATTTCCTGCTAAGAATGAAGACCAAGAAGTCCCAGATGCCACCCTGCCAAGATGGTGCCACAAGCAACAACCTACACGAGGATTTGGCGAATATCACGAACAGTAAAAGCATATTACATCATAAACACAACTCCGATATCCAGGGATCCTATGGGAGGCTCCGTGAAACATGATACAATTTTTTTTTTTATGATAGTCACAGAGAGAGAGAGAGAGAGAGAGAGAGAGAGAGAGGCAGAGACACAGGCAGAGGGAGAAGCAGGCTCCATGCACCGGGAGCCTGATGTGGGATTCGATCCCGGGTCTCCAGGATCGCGCCCTGGGCCAAAGGCAGGAGCTAAACCACTGAGCCACCCAGGGATCCCGAAACATGATACAATTGACGTTAGAATGATCCCAATAGCCTAGGCTACTCATGACATAAAAAAAAAAACAAAAAACAAAAAACCCTAACATCAAACACTTTCTTTCTTTCTTTCTTTTTTTTATGATAGTCACACACAGAGAGAGAGAGAGAGACAGAGACATAGGCAGAGGGAGAAGCAGGCTCCATGCACCGGGAGCTCGATGTGGGACCCGATCCCGGGTCTCCAGGATCACGCCCTGGGCCAAAGGCAGGCGCCAAACTGCTGCGCCACCCAGGGATCCCCCATCAAACACTTTCAACAGAACCGATGTCAAATAATTTCATATAATTATTTAAGAATACTCTCACTTATATATAACTGACGTCAACCTGGATAATAAGGACGATTGTTTAACTTCTTTTAATAGACGCCTGTTTTGCCCATCTGATATCTGTCCCCATTCTTTCTGATATTTCTGGGGATCAACTCACCCCAGAATAGGGGATAGATCATCTATCAGTGGCTTCTGTGGGACGGAGCCTATCCTGCTCCAGGACTGGGCACATAACCCAGGTACCATCATCTCTGTGACTACGGTGCTTGGTTCAGGCAGGTACATACAACCCAAGCGGAGAGAATCAATGTTAAACTTGGAACCTTTGTGGCAAAGAAAAGTTCTTTCCACTGGACACAGTGAGAAGAGCAAAAGGCAGATGATGCTGCCATAGGGCACCAGATGGAAGTAGCCTGCCTCCATCAAAGCCAGCGCAGAAGAAAAGCCCAATCAAGAGACAGAGAGCAAGTTCTAATGACAGCGTCTACACCCTATATCCAGGCACGACTGAGGAAAAATCTTTCCAAGAACTTTTAAGTTATGGAGGCCGATAAATTCCATTTTTTTTAAACTTATACCAATTTAGGTTGGCTTGTAGTTGTGTGCATCCCAAAGAATCTTGACTGATCATCTTTCAATAAAAGCTTACATTAAATAAAATAAAATAAATTTAAATAAAAGCTTTACATTAATAAAGCATTCAATGGCTAACTCCAGGTACATTGAAACAGTAATTTTTCTGTCAAAATGATAGTGAAGAAATAAGATGAAGCAGGTATAGGATGTAGGGGCTGAGGGCAGGCTACCCCAAAAAGTACCACAATGGCATATTGATTATTTCAAAGTAAAGTTGCTTAAACAGCCTGTGTAAAGACATTCAGACCCTCCTCTGTCCTCCTGAAAGCAGGAAATAAATCTCCCATGTGAAAGGTGCCCTCCCTGTACCTGGAGGTAGAGACACACCCTCATCACCAGAGACAGGGATTTAGAGCTGAGAAGGCCAGAAAAACAAACCTTTAATAATTTACATTAGCCCAAATTCTGTTTAGAATTCCTTACTAATTGAAGCTTCCAAACAAGTTTTATCCTGTCAATTCCTCACAAATATATTGTCTCTCTTTCTAAAACATATAAAAACTGCCTGCCTTGGTCATTTCTTTGGGTCTCAATTTCATTACTGGGCCTCCGTGAGCATGTAAATGAACTTTGGTGGGGTTTTTCCCTCTTGTCATCTCATGTAATCTATCTTTTTTTTTTTAATTTTTATTTATTTATGATAATCACAGAGAGAGAGAGAGGGGGGCAGAGACACAGGCAGAGGGAGAAGCAGGCTCCATGCACCGGGAGCCCGATGTGGGATTCGATCCCAGGTCTCCAGGATCGCGCCCTGGGCCAAAGGCAGGCGCCAAACCGCTGCGCCACCCAGGGATCCCCTCATGTAATCTATCTTATGTCAATTTAATTCTTACACCAGCTAGAAGAATCTTGATGGTATAAGAAAATTTTTCCTCCCCTGAAAGGACTAGAGGAAAATTGAACGGGACATTACCCTAACCTCCATTTTCTGGTGTTAGATCGTTATTTTTTTATTTGATTCCCATCATAAGAAATCCAGGAGCTCTTCCATTCTGCAGAATGATAAGAGAAGTGAATCTGTGGGTTTCTACTATCATGAAACCCAAAAGTCTACTGCAATATTATATTACACATGAAGAAAAAGATTATATGAGAAGGATTTTAAAAAGCAGTTATGAAAATATTGTGGCAGTATGTATTAAATGACTGATTTAATGTTGGTATGTTTATCTATTGAGTGTCTACTCTGTGTCCGAGACACTATTAGTTTAATACAACCCAAGGTAAAAGTATTTAAAATCCCAACAGGGTCATTTCACTTACACTCCACTCAGTACATTAATAGACTGTGTCTTCAATCCATATCCGGTCTCCTTTAAGTTAGCAACAATTCCTAACACATCAATACTGGAACCTTTGGATCCAAAGTTTTTTTCACTGTACATTATCATGTGAGCATTTGAAAAATCCTATTAAGAAAAAAAATTCAAAGTTCAAAGGCTAGCCATTTATTCAAAAAATATCAAGTATTAGCCATCAGCTTTTCTTTAACTTACACCTAATATAGGTCGTAAAGACTGAAGTTCTCCATTGTAACCTCCCCAATCTTTCCAGTCCTTGTACTCCCCTTCTTCAAGCAAATACTGATGACCTGTAAATCCAGGCTTCTCATAAGCAACCCAACTGCAACAGAAAGAACATGAAGGAGTAGTAATTTACATTAGTGCTAAAATTTTTCCCATGTGTTTATCAGTTTTATTAACAATTTCTAATAGTTATGAAGCTAGACACAGATTCATGCATTACAACCATCGGAATTCTTTTCTAAAATTTAAGAGACTAATAGAATGGCCCCCTAAAGAACAACCTAAGAAATATACATCAAAGTTCTGTAAAGGAGTATAGGGAGTGTGAGTGTGTGTGTGTGTGCGTGTGTGTGCGTGTGTATGTTTAATAAGAACGACTCAAAAGAATTTCAGCAGGAGCGATTGGGTGGCTCGGTAGGTGAAGTGTCTGACTTGATTTTTGGCTCAGGTCATGATCTCAGGGTCTTAGGATCAAGTCCTGCCTCCACTCATTCTCTAAGAAATAAATCTTTAAAAAAAAAAAAAAAAAGAACTACAGCAAAGAAAACTGGATAAACTTTCTTCAATGAATAATTATTATATATTTTTGTCTATTTACAAGACCATTTTTAGTGTATACTTCTAAAGGAAATACTTAAGATCTATAAAGTATAAAATGTCATAAAAATAGCAAACTAACAGCTCAATAGTATAGAGCATAATATTAATAAACAAGATGTAAATATGATCAGTCCAGACTAATTTATCAGCCTTGTTCAACTGACTGGCCCCAAACCATCCCCTCGAACTGCCATGTCAAATCCGGGTCACAGTTAGCTGAAAACATGTTTAAAATTCACTGTACCATGTTATTTGTAATGGTTTTTGGGTGGTGGCAGTGGTGGTGGGGGGAACGTGATAATACTTCATTAAAGGGATAAAAAAGAAACCCCTCTGGTTCCTCCCATCTACTTACATTCCTCTCAGAACTTTCATTGAGCCCACAGACGTAAATGGCGAACTGTCATCTGTCGTTTCCTCTGTTTCACCTGCTTCCGTGATAAAACTACACATTTCTGTTTCTAGTTCCATACATTTTCCTTCAAAGAAAGGCTTTTCATAAATAACTACCTATAATAGAGATGAGATATGCCAGTAATTGTAAGAAAGTTAAAGATCTCAACAGCTAAACATTAAATCAGTCATTTAATACCACTAAGTCCTAGAACACAAAACTTTCTGATATTTTTTTAATTAACTAAATAGCAGTATTTTATCACTTTAAAACTCAGAATTTTTCTCCTGATGTGGTGCAGCCCAAAGACAGGTTCAAATGATAGATTATAAATAATTGGTCTAAAAAAATTGGTTTTTGTTCAATGTCGAAAACCCATATTTAGAATTTTGCTTAGGATAAACTAAGGAATCAGAGACTCCCCCATTGCCTTAAAAATGGAATCCAGGGACTACTGGGTGGCTCAGCAGTTGAGCGTCTGCCTTCAGCCCAGGGTGTGATCCTGGAGTCCTGGGATCGAGTCCCACATAGGGCTCCCCGGATGGAGCGTGCTTCTCCCTCTGCCTGTGTCTCTGCCTCTCTCTTTGTGTCTCTCATGAATAAATAAATAAAATTTAAAAAAAAAATGAAATCCAGAGGCTCCTGACTAGATTCGTTGTAGAGCACGCAACTCAACTCTTGACCTCAGGGTCATGAGGGTGTGGAGTTGGGTGTGGAGCCTACTTAAAAAAAAAAAAAAAGACAAAATATAAATGTCAAAAATGTGCAAAGTAGAAATAGCAGAGAGGGAGATCTTGTCTTGAGAACTAAGTTTTTTCCTGGCTAAGTGGCAAGCAGCAGCAGGCCCCGCAATTAGTAAATACAACCACAAATTACAAACTTAATACAACAATGGACCTTTTAGGCCATGGCTACACATACTGTGAGTGATTATCAGTGCCATTAGTATCATCTTCCAATCTGAGCGATGGTATGTGTCAGCTGGGACAACTTCCTCTAGCTGCAGTTATGTTTTATGGAGGTTGCTACGTAAAATCACGTAAATACGATCTTCATGGGGATGGCATGGGAATAAAATTTAAAGTATATACATGTTTACCTTTGGATCTGTAGGGAATTCGACTTTACGTCCACCCTGAAAAGAAAAATAATACAGTAAGAAAAACGGTTCTCCATTGACAGGTTCCCATTTTACATCACCCATGGCGGTGAACCTCCCAGCGTGAGTGCATCTGGTTTAATTTCTGTTGCAACAGCTCTGAAGTCACCAACGGTGCAGAGGAAGAATGAGGAAGACCGTGTACAGTGGAGGTGGTCTATAAGCTGAATCTGCATGGTAGGTCTGTTTTTTAACCCAATAAGCTGCATTGTGTAGTTTGTTTTTAACTCAGAAAATGTCTTACAAAAATGGATCTCTCTCATTTCTCTTAAGATGAAGATTCTGAGAGGCAGCGACCCTCCCCTTGTGCACTTACTACCTCTCCGCGGGGCTCATTCTCCAGCCAGGGCTTGCGCCCCGTTTGCCTGTCTGCACCACTCTCTCAGTCCAACTCCCAGCCACCCTCGCTCAGGTCTGTTTGCTGTCTGGCCCCTGCAGGTACTTGATTTTGCAACCCACGGCTTACAAAACTGTTGAGTTCACACAAGTTCACAATGTGGTCTGGAGGACTCTTGAAGTAATCAGAGGAACTGTTAGATAGAATTGAAAGTAGCCCAAAGGAGGGGTCTGTGGGAGGAGTGGCTACACTCTTATATTAAGGTTTTTGTAAATGCCCCCCGCCAAAAGAAAAAGAAACTCACTAAAAATAAGTCACAGAAAAAGGTATTATTACACAGAAATAACAAACAGGGCAAGAGTTAGAATCGGCAGCGGGAAAGTCAGGAGGTTACTTTCTACCCATATAGAACAGCTTTTTGAAAAGTGTAGCCAGAGATGCTCAAATGCACCAAAAAGAACTGTAATTATAAAGGAATGTTGCTGATTTTATCCACAAAGCAGAGCTTAACCAACCAAGTGCAGTAGCCCCTCCTCCATTATCTGCATTTTCACTTTGCAGTTTGTTACCCAGGTCGAGGACAGCCTGGAAGCAGAGGATCCTCCTCCTGACATGACTCAGAAGGTCAGGAGTAGCCCAACGCTCCTAGGGTTGCCTCAGCCCCTCACTTCACTTCAGCTGTCAGGCGGGCACTTTCTCATCTCACCCCATCACAAGAAGGGCGATCACAGTACAGGAAGATATTTTGAGAGACCCCACATTCACATAAGTTTTACAGTGTATTGTTATACTTGTTCTCTTTTATTATTATTAGTTACTATTCATCTCTAATTTAATTTGGGCCTAATTTGTAAATTGTAATAAATTTGTAATTTAATCTATCAATTAAACTTTATCATATACCTATAGGAAGAAGACCTAGCATATATAGGGTTTCGTGCCATCTGTGATTTCAAGAGCCCACTGAGGGTCTTGGAAGGTGTCCGCTGTGGATTGGGGGTGAGGAGGAGACCACTAAGCACCCTTTTCCAAAGCATCCTTTTTCAATGCCATAAACGTCACAGTTTTGTAAATTATTTCAAACAGCCTTCAAAAGCTGGGACAATTCTTTCATATATTCCCAAAACTAAACTTTGTTCTTTGAAAGTGAATTTTAGAAACAAATCATTTATAATGAAAAAGTCATTTATAGTGCAAATGATTTTTGCATGAGGACCGCAAACACGGAGGTAACTAAACCACAGGCTTTGGCAGGAGAGGTAAAATTAAGATAAAAATTACCTCCGTGACTTTCTAATTTTTTTTTTATTTTTTATTTTTTTGACTTTCTAATTTGATTCAAACTAACTCTAGAAGACAACCGCAAAGTGCAATTTCAAAAACATGTTTGGGACAAGAGCCTCACTCGAGCCCGGGGTAGTCAGTGAGCACCTACTACCACGTGGCACGCACCGTGCTCAACGCGGAGGACGAGACAGGTGCAGCCTGGATCCTCCCAAGGCTTCGGGTTTAGCAGAAGAGGTAGAAAGAATAAGGCAAAAGACAGGGATAGGGTCGGGCAAGCACAGGCTCTTTTCTAAGGCAGACACTGGGGAGGACGATGTTTGGACATCCAGCCCCAGAGCCCCCAAAGCTGCCGTCCACCCTCGCCTCCGGTCGCCACGACTGGGCCGGTGCCCAGCCTGCCCTGCCCTTCCCCAGCTGCGCCCGGGTTCACGCAGAACCCTCCCCACATCTCCATCTAACACGGTCCTGCTTGCTTTCTAAGACCCAACTTGAGTGAGCATGAAGCTCTCCTAATCATGGCCCTTCGGGTCACATCACCTCCAAGGTGGATGTCATCTGTCCTTCCAGAGTTTTCCCACAAAGGTTTAGTTCTTCACTTCCTAAGCCACCCCTGGGCTGGAGCTTTGTGCGCCTGCCCACGGCTCTGCAAGGCCAGGAATGCCCCGAACGCAGAGAACCCGGGCTTAGCCCCAGGTTTTCATCTAGAGCGTCCAGCAAGTTATCCTTCCTGTTACTTCAGTCTAGTGGAAGGTTCTGGCTACTACAGAGCTGTGTTCTTAAAAAAAAAAGTCGGGGGGATCCCTGGGTGGCGCAGCGGTTTGGCGCCTGCCTTTGGCCCAGGGCGCGATCCTGGAGACCCGGGATCGAATCCCACGTCGGGCTTCTGGTGCATGGAGCCTGCTTCTCCCTCTGCCTGTGTCTCTGCCTCTCTCTCTCTCTCTCTGTGACTATCATAAATAAATAAAAAATTAAAAAAAAAAAGTCGGTTTTATTGCTTTGAAGTCACAGCCTGTGAATTCTCAGGGTCAACCTGACCAAGAATCAGACCCCCCGGAACATTGTGTTAGATTTCATTTTTACCATTTTCAGAGGCCGCATGGACCCAATATACGCCTCTTCTGTATCCCAGAAGGATAAGTCGGGGTATTCACCAGGTTCCAGGACAAAAGGCACACCCTGAAATCCAGGTTCTTCATAAATCAGCCACCTAAATAAGAACCAAGAGAGAAAAGAGAGGACTCACCATTTGTTTCCAGGGCCCGCAGGACCCCACTGAGGGGAAAGGAAAAGAACGGGATGACGTGTGTCGGGGCCGTGTCCGCCTACGCTCGGACACCAGAGCAACGTTAGATTCACGGAGGAAGAGGCCATTATCTGCTCCTCCTCCTCTTGACCTTTTACCTGTTTCCTTATGGTTTTGTCCAGTTACTTCAATGTTTGTTATTAGCTGCTTCAAAGCGTAAATGTCTCTATCACTCCCAGTAAGAGAAGTAGCTATTCTGTGGCCCCGTACGGACATAGAGAGGTCCTGGCTAGGAAACTCGAGCCTTGTTTTAAGAGGCGACATGTCATTTGTAACCACAGAACCGGATGTTTCGCCTATTCATTTGTCACAGGGCCCAAAACTACTAACCGGTAGCATCTACCCAGAGCGTAAACGGAATGCCACCTGGGATCTGATCCAATGCACACAACGGCGCTATGAGGAAGGGACACTACTGTCCCCGTTTTACGGATGAGGCTGAGTAAGTTGCCTGGGGCCACACAGCTGCAAGTACCAGGTGCTGGGCTGAGCCCCGCTGCCCCCGAGCCAGGCTCCTAACTGGTTTTTGGTAGCAGTTTTTCTCATGCCAGAAAGTGCACATAATTTACGCTTTTTACAATGACTTAGGATCATCACCAGGAGCGTGACAATGCACAGTGGTGTCCTGGGGGCTCTGCAGGGCGGGAGGGCTGCTTGTTCCCAGGCCCAAAAGCTTTTCGAGTTCTTGCATCTGATTTTTACGGCTTTTCAATACCACACCCTTTTATCAGGCTTGTCAGCTGTCACTTCTGCTGCGGTCAGAGAACCAGCAGCCCCCACCTTCCTTTAATGTGCTAGAAACCAGGAAACCAGAGAATCATGCCAGTTAGAACTGCCTCTTTAGCAGTCTTGTAATTTCTTAGTTCCGGGGAGAATTCTGGGGAAGGCGAGGTGGTGGAGATGGGGCTTTTCCTGTACGGGAGGTAGAAACGCGCCCCCTTCGTTCACAAGGATGGTGATCACTCCTCCTCCCCGATTCCTTGGTAGCCTCGCTAACGTACTAGCCGGAGAATTCCACTTTCCCCAGAACACGGCACCAAGAAGAGAGTGGCTGTAAATCGCATTTGTTACCAGCAAAATGAGCTCGATTCTCCCTCTTTGCCTTCTCCTGGTTCCCAGTTTTGGCCCAAAGCACATTCTGGGTGATGGGTTTTTGTTAAAGACGTCCTTGGATAAATCAGTCGCTTCTCTAAACTCACTAATTATACAGGAATTTACACTCGAAATCCTACTGAAGACCCCTCAACACACACACACGTTGACAGAGTGGTGTATGTGTGGGTGATCAAAACTAATTAATCCACATGGTTAGAAGTCAGGGTAATAGTTGTATCGGGGGTAAGAGGATGGCAGGAGGAAGCTTCTGAGATACTATAATGTTCTCTTTCTTGATCTAGATGATGTTTACACTTTGAAAGTTCACTCAGGGTATATGCTTACGATTTGTCCTGCACCATTTTTTGTACAAATATTATTACATAGACTTCAATAAAAAATTAAGGTGTGGGGGGGAGGCTTATCTTTAAAAAAAAAAAAAAAGCACTGCAATGCCCTAAACCACAAGAAAACAGAGGCTAAGAGTGGGGTCCTTTAAACCTCCCTACATCCGAGGCATCACAGGTAGGGATGTGTTACGCATTTTTTATGGCTCAAAGCTCTCCCAGGAACACCCCGCATGGACTCCACACCCTAACTAAATAGTGGCATTTCATCGGAAATGGTGCTATTAGGCTATGGAGCCAAGGGCCTTGGAGTCTGAGTCCTCACAAGTAAATGGGTGGAACTTTCTGTAAACTCAGCAGCCTAAGCAAGTGCTTATGAGAACCGGAGGTGTCGCTGAGCACAGGACCCCTTCAGGAGGTCTTCCCTTCTACGGTCTGAGTTGAGGGCGTTTATTCATCTGCTACTGAACACTTCACTTTTCTTGCAGCATGTGATTTAGTCACATAACATTTCTAGAAGGAAGGTAAATTGGGGTAAAGGGGGATCTGTCAGAAAAGTGAACACAAACTGACACAGTGGAAAAGACAGCATCCTGGGTGAGCATGAAAGGCCTGTGGGGAAGCTCAAACCCACACTTATCAATGTTGGGTGGACTTTGGAATCTGAAAACTCATACACAGCATGATTCATTCTTCCTAAGTTCTATTCCAACAAACTACATTATTCATGAGGCCAGCAGGAAGGGGGGAAACTATCTTCAGGCAGTTTTATTTCAGTCTCTAAAGGTGCTCATATTTTCCCATGTACTTAGGTAATGAGCTTTTACTTACATGATTATTAAACTACAAAGTGTATAAAGCATAACTATAAAGTGTGAGCTTTTTTTAAAAAATTAGTGTTAAAAATGTTATTATTTCAGTAATAGCCATTTGTAGGTTTACAATGGTTATCCATATATTGATTAAAAATATTTTGTGGAAAAAAATATTTTGTGATTATTCTTTTAGAAATACCTTCTAGCCACACAAGAAAAATTGGTCTGCACTTGTTCTTAAAGAAACAAAAAACACCCACAGTATTTCCAGCTGGATCCTCAGTCTTACTCTCCAGAAATGGCTACATATGAATGTTGGCTCTTTACAGAAACCAACTGGATGCTCATCCATATACTGGATGTATATGCCAACTTTGAGGTTATTCTAAAGAGGGGGAGCTATGAATCTCAAAGGGGAAAATGTCCCTTTAGGGTGGAGAGTTGTAAGAGGCACCAATTTAACCAAGCAACCAAACTCAGTTACGGTTAATGGGAAGCTGGTTAGCATATGCCACCTTTTATGCAACATGAATATGTAGCATTACCCTTAAGAAGGGTCCTTCCCACATCTGCATCTCATCATGCCTCTAGACCTAACCTGTACAAATACAGAAAATCCAGGCAATACGGGAACAAGTTAAATGATACCAGGAAACACTCAGAGACAAAACCAGATTGTGGCATATTCCCTATGACAGCCGACCTAAAATATTGCAGGGACAGAACTATAAAAGAAGGGTATGAGAATAACACAGAACTCCAGAGAGAGGCTACACGTGTGGAGGAGTCAGGGGGATGGGCTCAGGCTGGGCCACGCAGGGTGCTGTGGCAGTGCTGGTAATGGTGAGGTCCTAAGTCAGGTGGTGGCCACACGGGGATCAGTCTTACTACCAGGCTTCATAACTCACACATGTATATCATCTTCTGTGTATATCAAATACTTCACAGTAAAATTGATCAAAGGATATTTGGCTATTAAAACTATCCCCTGACTTCAGAGCACCGGCATTCGAGTACCTGTTCTGCTAACAACTAATCCTAACCCCGAGAAAACGACTAAAGCCAGTCTTCCTTAAACCCATGTTCTTTATGCTCCCTTTAAAGTTCTAAAATTCTTTGTTTTTATTAGAAATATACCCCCCACACACACACCACCACCACCAAAAGGTATACCCTCACCTCCAGGAGGATGGGTATAGTATTAGCCAGGTCTTAAAACAGAAGTTTAAAAACAAATTACACTCGATAGAAAAGAATTTCTGAAAGAAAATTTTAGAAATTACTCATGTTTCCAAGTGAAGAATTTGACAAGCCATACCCTTATTTTGTGTACGTGTAGAAGAGTTTAACCCACAGTAAATGGGCCCTGGAACAAATCTCCTAATGGAATCTAAGGAAGTCCCTCACAAGCAAAGACTTCTCACTACTGGTTCAGGGCACCAGTGCACCATTAGAAGCAAAGTGAGCACAGGTGTTTACTATCACTTGAATTCTCCCAACCCAGCAAGACTCCCCCGGCAGATCTATGAAAGTACTAGTGACCATTCCCAAAGCCGACCAACCAAGTTCAAGGACCCCAACTTTGAACTGACATCCAAAGCAGTTTTCTATTACTCTAATAGCAACAGAAATGACGACCAGGAAAAAAAAGATGTCCATTGCCATGCAAGCCATCATAAATTGGACACCACCGCAGGTTTGTGACGACCCACCGTGAGACGAGTTAAAGTAACTTTAAAGGTAAGAAATATTACTTTGGTGTAACTCATTAAGCTTCAGCAGAACCCAAGCCTGAGTCATGAAACCTTCCAGGCACCAAGATGAACATACAGCAGACGACGATTTCATTCTTTTCCAAGGAAAGTGGTAATTCTCAACTTAATATGAATACTTTGAGAAATGAGATATACACATCTCTTTGATGTGAAAAAAATAATTAAAGGCAGCAAGAGATGAAGCTCTTTTCTTTGTTTAGACTCCTCCTTTTCTTCCCAACTGCCAAAAATCAACATGCCCAGGGCTCAGACAGCTCCTGTACTGCCTTTGAGATCTGTGCAGTGCAGGCTTTAAATACCTTCTCCAGGCCGATGACTCCCGAATTTCTATTTCCAGCTTCCCTCCTGAACTCCGGTCGCCTTCGTGTCCTCTCGCTTGAATGTACAGTTGGCATGTCCAACTTTACCTCTCTAAAACCGAACTCCTGTTTTCTCCATCCCAATAAATGCTGGGAGCCCAAACCCTAGAGAGAGCTCAGCCCCTCACACCTCACATACAGTCTGTCAGCAAATGTTGACAGTTCTACTAGGAAAATGTATCCAGAATCTGACCGCTTCTCACCCGCACCTTCTAAGCCCTTAAAACCTCTTGCCTATACAATTGCACTTGCCTCTCAACTGGCTTGTTTCCACCCTTGCCTCTTTACAATCTGTTTTCTACATAGTAGCCAGAGTGAGCTCTCTAAAGCACAAGTTAGATCAAAATCCTCCCATGATCACCCATGTAACGTGGAGTAATCTAACATCGCTCCCAAGGCCTAACATGAGGCCTCTCTCCCATTCCGGTCCTCCCAACTCACTGCTCCAGCCACCTTGACCTCCTGACAGTTCCCCAAACCAGCCCAGCAGGGCTTTGCAATCGCTTCCTGCCAGTGACTCGCCCCCTGACCCTCCCCACCCAGGCCTCCCCAAGGCTGATTCCCTCACTTCCTCTGGGCCTCCACTTAAAATGTCAACAGACACCTCCCTGACCATCCTATCCAAAATGGCCCTACCACTGCTCCTCTCTCCAACGCACGTTTCCTGTAGAATTTGCAATCTGACACATTACACAGGCGTTATCTTATGCATATCCCATCGACAAAAACTTTTGAGCCTTCCCTGAATATATGTTTATAAATGATATATATTATGACTGAATGTATTATGAATTTAATAGGAAACACACACACACACAGAAATCTTTTTTTTTTTCCACACACAGAAATCTTAAAAGGAGATTTTCAATGAAAGATAAGCTTCAAAAAAAAAAAAAAAAAAAAAAAGAAAAGAAAAGAAGCTTCAGTGTGTTTTCCTTGTATCTCAGTGGGTATCCTTCACGCGATCTGGGCTGTGCGCTCCCCTTCAGAGACTACCTTACCCAGGACCGCCACCCACACTCTCTGTTCTAATTTCCCCTATCTGAGATATTCCCACTTCCTTCAAAATACTCTTGCAGTTTCCCGTGATTTATGAAACCAACATCTGAGGGGCTCTAGACAGCATTGTGTGAAAATGTTCAAGGAAGGAAAGTACCATGTGTGCTGGCCTCCAGCCCTCCTGTTATATCAGGAACACATGCTCTGAATTACCTCCTTTGAATTACCATGAAGGTAAGTAAAAGCTGTAACTCAGCTCCGAATGAATCAGGTTCCTCTGAGATAAGGAAATCCCAACAGTAAACATGCAGGTTTTTTTCCTCCCTGGCACTTCCCCCAAGAAATCGTTATTGTTTATAAGAGAACTGAATCATGGTCACACAGGTACAAAACAGTCAGAATTTTATGGCTCTTAATGAAACAACAACAACCTCTTTTAGTCAAGAACTACTTAGTAGGACCACAGATCAGAGTATCTTAAGTCTTTCCAGTAGTACACTCACCAAAAGGCTTCATTAACATTGTATTTAAAACGAAATACTTACGTGCCCCAATGTACTTTAATGGAACAAGTCTTCTGCATTATACCAAACCCTTGCATCTCTTCAGTGTCATCAAAGTAAGAATTTAGGAGTCCTAACCCTTCTGGTTCTGTAAATAAGTCAATCTGACTAACTCTGTAATCCTGAAGAAAGAAAAAAAAAGTATACATATATAATAAAAATGATGCCATGTACTTTACAATAAGCTCATTATCTTTTTTTTAAGATTTTATTTATTTATTTATTCATGAGAGACAGAGAGAGAGAGAGAGAGAGAGAGAGAGAGAGGCAGAGAGAGAAGCAGGCTCCATGCAGGGGGCCCGATGTGGGACTCGATCCCGGGACTCCAGGATCACAGCCTGAGCCGAAGGCAGGCAGGCACTCAACCACTCAGCCAACCAGGTGTCCCCTCTTTTTTTTTTTTTTTTCAAATAACTAAAATAAATTTTTTTCTAAAATAAATTTGAAATATACACATGCATTTCACAGAGCACCTGCCATTCATCCCTTCCCTGTTTTCACCCATGACTCAATAATATGTGGCCTTGCAGGGCAGCCATGTTGCTTTAGCCATATAGCTCAGTGTTCCATTCAAGCAAAAATCCCCAGAAACGCATTTAATTAGAGTTCTGGAACATATTTATTTCCCTCATCCTCACTGAAAAAACTGTTGGCCTTCCTTGGTGACTGGAGTTTTAGCTGGTTTACTTGGACATGACCATCCAAGTCCAGAGGCTCTATAGTCCATAGAGGGGCCGCATTGGGGGCCTTCCTCAGTTGCTATTTTGTGTCCATAAACGCCCTGTGGTAACTCTCCTTGCCTATGACCAAACCTCTATGACATTGGTTTGGTCTAAGTTGTTAAAGCAACGGTAGAAATTTATGACGATTTACAAATCTCTGTACTATGGTCAGTGTACCACGCCCTGCACATCCTGCCCACCAAGCACTCTTCAAAAGGCCTCTCCTGGCTCAGTGCCTAAGTGCTAGTAGAACATATATTGAACTTTAATCTTGCTGAGCTAAGTGAACTGAGATACAGAAGAAATGACACACGGGTTGGTTTATGGGAGGCTCACAAACATTACCAAAAGGAATAAATGTAATGAACTAAAAAGGTGACCTTCCTAAATATGTTGTGATATGTGTTCATGGTTCAAGCAACCATAATCTGTAAAAAAAAAAAATCATAATGTATCAAAAAACATTAAAAATGTTCCTATCCTTTAACATGACACCATTCAGAAAAATTCACCCCAAATAAATCAGCAATTTATAAACAATGAAATGCACCCCAAAAATGCTCATACAGCATTATTTGAAATAGCAAAGCATCTGGAGGCAATATTAAGTTCCATGGAAAAAAGGTAAAATAAATGATTTCTTGGAAACCCCAAACCGTGTAGTAACATCAAAAGCATTAATGGCATTAAGGTGGTGGTTACTGAACAAAACAGGAGGCCTCTCTTTACCAATATGCTTCACTTTCCTTACCCTACTCCTCCTGAGTGCATCTAAATCCCCACCCACCAGAATCTGATAGTCGCACGTCACTGAGAGATGTTGATCAAAGGATCTTCAGGGAAAAGGGTAGGGAGAGAGAAAAAGGATTGAGAACTACAGTTTTTTGTTTTGTTTCTCCCTTGAGTAGTAGAGCCCAACATGGGGCTTGAACTCGCAACCCTGATATTATCATGATTACAACTACAGAAAAAAAGCAGACTGGGCTATGGCCAAGATGGAGCAGAGGTTTCAAAAAATTAAGAAAGGATATCTCATGACGGTGGACTGGGATATGTTTAAACACTGCTTTATTACCAATATTATTTGAGCAATAAATGAAAAGTGCAGGTAAATTATCCCACTGACTATGATGTTTTTAAACAAGGTTCCTCACATCTTCCTTAAGGTTTATCACATTATCTACTTAAAACTATTGAAAGATAAATCATTTGGAATCCCAATGATCACTGAAGTCACTCAGAAATGTTGACTTAAGAATCAAGTGGCATTTTCCTCTGCCAAAAACTGTTAGTCACTCTTACTCATTCTCATTTTACAACATCTTAATCTCCCTATTATACCCAAACACCCATCTCTGTTACACAAATAGGGTTTTAATCTTCCAATTGGAAGATACCATTAACTACATTTTTAAAAGTAAAGAAAGAATCATCAAATCCCAACAGCCAGAAAGAAAGATTGACACAACTTCCTCATCAACAAATAAGGGACCAAGAAATTTTAGCCAATCTCTAAGGTGGCCTCAAGTATCCACTCTTCTGAAACCCACACGAAACCCCAGAGTTGACTTGCAACTGAATTATTTGGGGATTATTTATTTTTTCCAACATGGAGCTCCTATAAGCCACTCTAGGTAATCAGAACTCACACAGCAACCAAAAAAAAAAGTAAGTAGAAGAATAATCTGTTCACATAGAATTCATCCAAATCAAGTTATTAAGTAAAATACATTTGGAGATGGGGAAGAGGGACAAGAGTGAGAAATTAACCTTCAAGATTTGTTATGAAAAAAATGATCCATCAGTTAGAATGTTCCTTTTTGAATTCAAGTGTATGAACACTTAAGTGATAGAAAATATATCTATAGAGCGCCAATCGGTATTTTTCCTCACTTATTTCATAAAATGAACTTTTCTCTCAAAGAAAGAAACATCCCTGGGGTTCAATAAATTTGGTAAACAAATCAATCATCTTGGGTTTTCCCATAACCTACCTGGACCACATGTCTGATTGAACCAATCACCACAGGCTTAGTGGACTCTGCTTCCTCGTTTCCTTCCAAAATATCTTCTATACCCCAGAGACCAGAGAGTTCCAATTCTCCTTCTTCTAAGGGGATGGAGTGCCCTTCAAAATTTGGTTTCTCATACAAAATCCAACTAAGAGTAAAACACAGCGAAACTATTAGCTGGTGTTGGTGAGAAAGGTTTTGATGATTCAAATATTCTAGCTAATAGCCTTTCCCTGCCCCTGTCCTCTCTCTCCCTCTCCTTCTCCTCTCTCTCTCTCTATTGTGACCAATTATTATATATATACTGTGGCCAATTCTCTAGTAGTTAAGTGTATAAATTCTCTCTAAGACTTAATTTACTGGGCATAGTTAAGCCTCTGAAAATCCAAAAACTGTATCAGGATCTTAAAGAACTTTTGGCTATCCATTCGAACATCGTAGAGTCACTAATGTTCTATAGAACTCAGTTGGTGAACAGTTGTAAATACTAATACATCAGATGAATGGACTTTTTCTAGAATTCTTTTTTCTCCTTGTACATGTAGAAAACACTTCTGGGGGGCATTTTACCTATATTTTAGAGCCATATCAATGGACATATTGATATAAAGTACTATATGCATGTTAATGGAGAGTATTTTAAAAATATCCTTCCCCCCAAAATAAATAAAATAAAAATAAAAATATCCTTCCCCCAAAAAAAAAACATCCAAACAGTAAAAAAAAAATCTGTTCCTACATGACAATGCTGTTCTTAGATGCTTACGCTATTTTTTCTTTAAGATTTTATTTATGTATTCATGAGAGACACACAGAGAGAGAGGCAGAGACACAAGCAGGCTCCAGGCAGGGAGCCTGACATGGGACTCGATCCCGGGTCTCCAGAATCAGGCCCTGATCTGAAGGGAGCGCTAAACCGGGGAGCCACCCGGGCTGCCCAGATGCTTATGCTTTTAAGAGAAAAGCTAACAAAAGTTGGGGAAAAAAAGCACTATTATATGAGAAAATTTATATTTATAAATTTATATAAAATTTGTTTTTAGTGTTATTTTTGGTCTCCAAATTTAAGAGCCAAAGCTAATTATATTTTTGTAATGAATGTGTTGAAGATATAGAAAAATGTTAAAATATCTAAAACCTAACAGGAAAGATGCTGCATATTTAACCAAATGGAAAAAAAAAAACCTTACTAATTTTCTAAACCACAAATTTTAAAGCCCAACCTTCTTTATTTCAAAGAAGAAGGTATCAAAGATAAGTCTTTATGCCAGATAAGTGATTTATTAAAAATGTCTTTTCTTAATTCAACTTCCTGTGTATTTCCTAGAAGCTGTCAACCTGGTAAATAATTTTTTCACCAGGTTCTTTATCAAAACCATCAGTTGCTAAAAAGTTGGGAAATAAATTTTAGGTTAGTCACAATTTGTCTTTTCTTAAAAACCATTTAAAATTCTACAAACATGACTCGTGCAATTCTTTCCAACCTCACTGAAAATTCATAAACCAGAAGTGTTAGTATGGACTCTGCTGTTCAGTAGGGCCAGCCAGTGTGATGTGGGGATATATGGGAAAACGACAGTTGTACTGCTGCACTTGCCTGACTTTTCTAGCCAGGCATCGCCTCTATAAAGCAGAAGCATGGTTAAAAATTGTAATTTTTTAGAGACGAATTTCTGGTAATACTCACTAAGAGTAGGATTTTCTGCTCTTTCCATTACTAAAGGCATAATTTTAAATAATTTCTGAAGACCAAAAAGGTAATTAAAAATGTAAACCACAAACCCTCTAAGTCAGGAACCCAAAGCACCATTCTTACCATCCTCTGACGACCTTGATGATTACCACCGGAGAGAGGCTCCAAGAGCTGCAATCCTCAATGTCACTGAAAATTTCAATGCACTCCTCAGAGACATCCGGGTCCCTGTAGATCACTACCTACAAGAAAACAAAAGTGGAAGCACATGGTTGAACGTTATCAGAACAAAATAAAAGCTGGCCTAGAAACAGAACATCATCTTACCTTTCCGGGTCGGGGATTGATTTTATTTGTAAGACTTCCTCTAAGCATCTGTAATCAGATGAACAAAAACACAACAAATTAACACTGTGTAACAGTGTAACACACACACTGTCTGTGTAACACTCTCCGGAGTTTCTCTGCTCACGATCCTTTAAGATCATATTCATTTGCCTCACAATGTATATCAATTTTGAAACAATCTGCCTTGATCTGTGCCAAAGCTACGTTAAAGCTCTCTTTGAGTTTACAGTACTAAATCAAGAGTGGTTTTGGGTCCTCTAACTAAATATGGCATTTTAATTTCTCCTCATTTGTTTGTCTGTTTTTACAGAGAGGAGGAGAGAGGGATACGGGGCTCCATCTCACCACCCTGAGATCGTGACCTGAGCCAAAATCAAGAGTCCGACACTTAACCAACTGAGCCACCCAGCCACCCCTCTATTTCTCCTCGTTTAAATGCCTGGAATATATCCACTAATCTAGAAAACTTCAGGGCCCAAGGGTTGGAACTATTTTTTACATCAGTTCACAGAGTAAGAATCCAGCAAAGAAATTTTAAGTCAAATGATCTCTGTATAACGTCAAGTAAAGAGAAACTATAAAGTATTAATCATGGATCTAGAAGGAGCTGCATCAATTTCATGTGTTCATAGACCCACCTTGTCTGAAACTATAAATATTATCTTTTCATTGTAACATCTGACCATCACATAATAAGTATTAGTCTCAGTAAAGGGGTGTTTATGGAATATATCACAACAGACACTGCACATTGTATACTTGATTCTCCCTTCTTGGTGGACAAAATACATTTTTGTATGGCTCCCAACCTAATCATTTTCGAGAACATCTGACGAGACCAGTAGAACCAGAAATACGTAAGATAATAAAAACAGTAATCACACATGAAAAAAATATTATAAAACACGGACTACTTCCAATGCTGACCAGGATGCTTATTCTAAGGACTGCCTTTGCCTTTGATCTAATCACTCTCGCACCAAACCATAGCACAGTATGTCCAAGACCACAGAAAGGCCTCACTAGAAACATTACTAAAAATCAAAATGGCATCTACTTATTTATATATGTGCTTATTTAGAAGTGGATAAGCTGAAGACAAGGCCTGAAATTTAAAACAAAATTCAGGTAAGATGATAAAGACAGAATAGCTATAGAATAAACAAAGCCCAAGACCTAAGAAAACAACAAAAACAACAAAAATTTAAACATAAAAAGACCTAGAGAAAGTAGAAAACACTTTGTTTCTCCTTTTTACTCCATTTGGCTCGATTTTTCAAGGGATTCCATAGGGAAACTGTGTATTTTGTTGTCAGACTCATCAGATTGCTGTCAAGTAAGAGAAGTGATCTAAGAATGATTTAAAAAGAGAAAATAATAAAAAAAAAAGAGAGAGAGAGAAAATAAGGCTGTACTGAATGGCGAGTAGACCAGTGGAAATTCTGTGCTTGAGAGGAATACTTAAAAATCTTATGATTTCTGAGTGCTATGGGCTGATTCAGTGTTGTTTGTTTACAGCAGTGGTTCTCAAAGTGTGGTCCTAGGTCCCCTGGACGATCCCCAAGAACCTTCCAGGAAGTCAACGAGGTCAAAACTGTTCTCATGATAAGAAGAGGGTATTTTCCTTTTTCAGTCTCTCCCTCACAAGCATGCAAGAGACTTTTCCAGACAGTCCAGGACGTGTGATGACATCATTGCTCTGATGGTTAATGGAAGGCGTGCTCCTGTGTTCTCACGCTTTAAGTTTTTCTTAGTGTTAATTTCTGATATAATAAATTTGTTCAATAGGCATAACCCATGTAAACAAAAGCCCTCTGGGGTCCTCAGTAGTTTTTAATTAACAAAGGTGTCTTGAGACCAAAAGTTTGAAAAGTTTTGAAAAGGGGGATCTGAGCTTCTGCTGGACACCCACCCGTGCATTTTGAAAGAGCTTCCAAAATTATATCCTATGCTAGGCTTGAGCAAGAGCCCACGCAACAAACGGAAACACACTGCAGTGTCTGTGTAAATCAGGAAGAGGGCACGGTATTTTCTGACGGACTACGCTGTGCCGCATGATGGTCTACACTTGCCTGACAGCCCGGTCCACAGCGTGAGCAACAGGAATGCATTGGTCCGTCCACTCCTTTTTTGGGGGCTAGCGGAGCTGCCCTCTAGAACTTACTTTCTGCCCGCCTCAGTTTCCTCCCTCCACTTGAGTATCAAGCCCCGTAACAGAAAGCCACAAAATTCACGCCAAAAACTCCCTAAAAAGAAACAAACTCTGGAAGCCAGATACAAGAAGATAGAGAAATCCTAACCGTCCTTCAAAACCCTATTTCGCTGCCCTCGCTACAATATTCAAGGAAAGATCCGAGGTGGACCAAAACTCTCTATGTCCCCCAGCAGCTTTGTAGGAAAAAGTGTTTCCCTGATGAAACTTCCAAATAAAGAGAAATTACTTCCCGAGTTCCAGGGGATAATCACCTCGTTACTTAGGGAAAGAAAGAGTGGATCTTACACATCGTAAGAGAAGGGTCAGGAACAAGATTTCGTGGCGGGGCTTTTCTGAGTACATGAAGCAGCTTTACAAATCTTCAAAATGCTAAGTAGAGCCTTGAGCATTCTTACCCAGAACTAGGTAAGAAAAAAATCAAAAAATAACCTTGTCTGTAGAGACAAGGTAGCTTACCTACACCTTTCAGATTACAACACCTTAAGGTACTTAGAGCGTATTTTCCCCACGAGAGTAGCAATACCTTGGGGACAGAAATCCTAGTACCTCTCTTCTTGGCCCCCAGTTCTTTGTACACATAGCGGGACCGCAGTGTGACAGAGGACCAGAAACCATCGCACGCACGACCACTTAAAACAACAACACGAACCGCTCACCGTCCCTCTCCCCTCTCGTTTTACAGACCCACCCAACAAATGGTAACGCGTGGCTACTCACGGTTGCATCTGATAATGACATTGCAGAAAAAGACACGTTTGGGTCGAACCGGCTGGATTTGAAGAGACCCATGAAGTCCGCGTCGCTGTGTCCGGGGTTGGGCAGGCTCGACTTCAGGACGCTCTCGGCGCGATCGTTGCCGGTCTTCGGTTTAGGAAACTCGGACAGTTTGGCTTCGGGCAGGTGTCCGTTGCTCTGCGACCCCGGATCTTCTTTGGTCTCCTCCCTGGGCAGGTATTTCTCCATGTAGCCTGGACTTTTCAGACCCGAGAGGGATGCATTTGTCGCGTCGAAACCGAAGACCCTGAGGCTGCCGGGTGGGAGGCTGGGCCGCTCCTGGTCTGCCCGGCAGGGCGGGGCGCCCTCTGCCCCGGGCCTCGGAGGCCGAGCAAGAGAACCGCTGCTCCGGGCAGCGCCGAAGCACGTGCTCATGGTGCTCACCGACGTCACCGACGGAGAAAAGACTCTGTCTTGTGCTGAGGGCAACATGCTGGAGAAGAGCGCGCTTTTCTCCAGCCTCGATCTCTTCACGCCGCCGCTTGGGACATCTCTGTTCTCTTTGTCCTCGGTCTCGGGGCCCGTGGGAGGCTCAGCCTTCCCGTCCGGGGCCGGGACCGACGACCCGAAGGGGACGCTCTGCTCCGTGGACATGCGTTTGCTCCTCAGGTTGGATTTTGTGTAAAGACTCTGCATCAAGTGCAGGGCCGGTGACATTTCTGGGGGGCTGTCCTTTTTCTTCCCCAAGCCACAGGTGAACACGTTGGGATCTAACACCTTTTCCAGGTGGTCCTCGTGGATGGGCGGCATGACAAAGGGAGGGGCGGGGCAGCTGGGCACCCTGGCCTTCTTCTTCTTCTGGGGCACACAGGCTGTGCTGTCCATGTTTTTGATGATTTCAGTGAACTTCTCCATGTCGGAAGAAGAGTCCAGCAGGCTGTCGTCGCCCCCCGCGGGGCCGCTCCCGAGGCTGGCAGGGCTGTCCGGGCCGCTCGCCGCACTCGCGTGGGGCCCTGGAGCGCCGCCCGGGGGGCCGCCCGCGCTGGGGTCGCCCTGCAGGGTCGCAGGTCGCAGGTGCTCCCCGGATTCTGCAAGCGTGACTTGGGGGCCAGGTTCGGCTGCGGTTTCCTCGCTGCGATGGCCGGGTTTGGGCGCCGTGCCCTCGCGGCCCGGGCCTTCCTCTTTCGGGGGAGCACAGCTTGCGACAGAAACCACTTCGAGTGGATCGTTCTGACAACTTGGCAGCTGGGCTCCTCTGACTTCGGGGCCCTCGGAGATGACCTGGGCGCCTGCATCGTGGGTGCTCTCCACGGGGAGCATGAAAGACCGGACGTGGACAAGGACCGTGGATGGGCACTCGGGCCCCACGGCCTCCGGGCCGTGCTCTGCGGACGGAGGAGGCCTCGCTGCTGCCCCTCCTCCTCCTTCAAGCTTGGAGGGCTGCACTGTCCCACCGTTCTTAGGTGACGGGGGCAGAACACAGCCGTTATGGTTTTCTGACGCTTTTAGATCAGTTCGTGGGAGACCGCTTATGGGAGCCCGAACACATGCGCCTTTGGGTGCAGGCTGGGAGGGAGAAGGCCCGTTAGATGACTCAGCTGGGGGCTGTGAGTCAGATAACGTATCCTGTGGCTTTGGTGCGGCCGGTGGGGGGGGCTCTTTGGTATCAAGAATGGCGGGAACGGCCTGTGCCGGATCAGTCATATTTTCAAGTGCAAGTCTTTTGCTCCCCGCGGCCTTTGAGTCATCCTCTCCTGAGGCCTCATGGTCCTCGACAGGATTCAGAGCTGCGACCACTGCTTCGGGAGGGCAGCCGGCGTCTGTGTGCTCTTCTGCTCTAGCACTGGGGTGAGGTGGAGGGCCAAGAGCTTGGCCTTGGGGAGGCTGGCCCCCCGATCCCCCGGCACTGGGGCTGCCGGCTGCTGGGGGGATCTCCTCCTCAGTAACTCTGGATTCCGTCGAGGTTTCCTTTGCCAGCATACCATTCTGGTGACTGTTTGGCATTACTTTCTTTTCAGATTGCTCCATCTCTTTGGCTTTCTTGGCTAAATTCAGCTTCGCCCTCCCAACAAACGTTTTATTACAGGAGGCAGGAGGGTTCCTCGTACTTCGAACATCAGCATGTCTTGGGCTACTACTGTTGGCCCTTTTGTTTTCAAATAAGGAGATTTTGTTGGCAGTGTTTCCTTTATGAACCGGCTGGCTAAATGGATTATGCTCGTTTCCCGAACTGTCAGGATTCTTAGGAGTTTTAAGATTTAGTTCCACATGTTTGGGCTTGGCCGGGCTGCAAAAATAAAGCAGTAAGATAAAGTTATTGACCTAGTTTTGAAAAGCCAACATACCAATTTACTACGAAACATTTATTATTATGAAAAGCCAACATCTCTCTGGTAAGTAACATTTGTTTTTTATGAGGCTATTTTAAAACAATCCTAAGTACACTCAACTATTTTTAATGGAGGTTTTGCTTCTGCAGGATGGATGAGAAAATTATATAGCTAAGAAAGTCAAGAGGTGGGAGGTTAGCAAGTTTATCGAGTACCTAATATGTGAGCACGGTGCTTGACACTAAAGTCAGAAGACAGCTTAGGGCTTGAAGAACATGAGGTTGAATTTATATATTTGATGTACTCCTTTATTTTGAATATGTAAATGATCTCCCCAAACAGCAGCTGTGTATTTTTATTTTATCATAATTTTTAAGCATTATTTCAAAAGGCTAGATTATAAAAATATTTATCTGTTATTTACCTCTTTGAATATTTTATTCCCTTCATCTTCCTTCATATAACTTTACTCTGATTATACAAGTGTGTCCACTACAGATCATATGGAAAATATAAAAATGAAGAATCACTCATACTCCTACCACTCAAATAATCTCCCTGTTAACATTTTAGTGTACTCTTTTTGTATGCATGGTAAAATACTTTTAACAGAATTGGAATTGTTCCATTCCATACTGTTTCAGATTTTATATTTAAAAAAAGATAAATTAAAAAAAGATAAATTAATCTTATCTTTCACATTTTTAACATTTTCATGTTACTAAAAATTTGAAGTTTTTCATAATGCCTGCATAAAAGTTTAATCATATGGATGTACCATAATTTACTTATCAGTTACTCAATTGTTGGTGTTGTTGCCTTTTTGGGGGGGGGGGCAAAAGGCATCTCCCCTTCTTTATAGAGCGAGGGCTCTATATTTCTTGGTTATTACTGCCTACTGGAAATCATCTTTGTTTTCTTTCTGTTTGACATTAGCCAGCTCTGGTCCTGGCTCTTACACTGATGTGTGAGCTTGGTCAAGTTAACTCACTGGACTCACTACCTTTCCTATCTAGAAAAACCAAACAAATCGATAGTTTAGAACAGAGATGTTCCTCTCCCCACCACACCTTTCCCAAGTGATGGCCGAAGGAATTCTCTCCAACAGCGACCGAGGGTCCAAGAGCGACCGAGGGCTGGGGCCAGCCACCCTCCTCTCGACCAAAGTCACTTCTACGTGTCACTTTTAAGCTTTCCTAGAAGAATGGGCTCTGAAGCTAAACACAACACAATGTCTAAACCATACATCTAGTGGTTTCTAAAATGAGGAGATAATAACCACTAAGAATCACTGATTGACACACACTTGAGAAACAGTGTACTTGCCTAATGTACTAGTTTAAACATTCTCTTTTACAACGAGGAAGTTGAAGCCTAGGGAAGGCAGGTAATTTGCCAGAAGTCATACTCCTAGTGAGAGACAGGGACATGATTTGAAACCAGGGGTTGTGGTTTCGGAGGCTATGCTCCTGACCACTCTACTCTTCTGCTTCCCCAGACCTCAGTGACTAAATCTGGTCCTTTCCAGCTTGATATATTCAAGAGGTTAATGAATTATCGTGAGAGCTGTAAGATTAAGCGATCAAACGTTGGAGGCTACCTTGATCATGAAAAGTGGAGAAGCACAGAAATCTCACTGCTGCCTCCACATGGATTCATTGGCCTTCAAGAAAGAGGGGCTTTTTGAAGGAACAGGCAATATGACTTTGGGTGAGACACCTTATCCTTCTGGATAAAATGAGAACACTGAAAAGACTTGAGAAGTCTTTCCAAAATATAGCATTAGGAACTTAGATTTTTATTTTTAGGAATTCGATTTAAATACTAAATTTCATATACTCTCATGAATTTCTCTTAGGCACTGCTCTCTCCAATAGCTCCACAAAATAGCTAGGCTCCCTCATGGTGGGCCCATATCTTAAATTTAAAAGGAAAATTAACATACACACACTACCTTGAAGACTGAATTCTAAAACCAATGGAGTTGAAATGGAGAGCTTACAAATGCCATCAGTTAATGAAGGATGTTCACATGCCAGTAAATACATATTTAAAAATTTTTTCAGGGGATCCCTGGGCGGTTCAGGGGTTTAGCGCCTGCCTTCGGCCCAGGGTGTGAACCCAGGGTCCCGGGATCGAGTCCCGCATCGGGCTCCCTGCATGGAACCTGCTTCTCCCTCTGCCTGTATCTCTGCCTCTCTTTCTCTCTGTGTCTCTCATGAATAAATAAAATCTTTAAAATAAAAAAAAAAAAATTCTCACTAATCAGCTCAAGCAACAGTCAAACATCAAAGTATATCTTATGATGTCAATGGAAAACACTACAGGTTAGCCAACAAGCTACCTTAACGACAGGAAACACATCTGCACATTAAAGATTTACGCCGAGATCAAAATATGTTTTACAACCAAACTTTCTGTGCTATTAAGTTCTGCTACCAAGAGTCACTACAATTAACCTAGCTCATACCGATTAAAAGGAAGGCTTCTCTAATTCCTGCTTTGTGTAATGCCTTTATTATAATGGGAGAAGGGAAAACCATCTGATGTCTTAAAAGCTGTGGCTAGGAGAGGAAAACTCTCCTTATTCTAAACATACCATTGTTAATCTCAACATTCAACACCTGGAACAGAACTGAAGACATAATTTTTCTAACAGCATCGAGAAACAAACAAACAAAACAAACAAAATAATTTACACTAAAACTTCAGATGCAAATTGCTTTTTAAAAATAATCGGTAACGTTCCTTCTTAAAATACCATCAGAGGAAAAAAAAACCGGAAAGGAAATCCATCAAACAGAAAAAGACTAGAAGGAGTTAGTTTTCCCATTTCCACAGACTGCCAATTCACCAAGCGTGAGGCCTGGTGGAAAACACAATCAAGCCAAATGCCTTGCCGAGGAGAAATTTTAGGTAGAAAGTGATGGGCACAGAGAAGAAGACGTGGTTTAGTTCACAGAAAACAGGACGTGCAGAGTTTCGTTGCAGGATCGCTCCCCAGGTTTGTTTACCCTACACCTTGCAACATTTCTGGTTTTTCCACTGGCGTTCTCCGATTGGAAGGCAGGAAAGGCAGGTAAGGGCGTCCTTAAACAGCTCCGCAGTAACGTTTCTCTAAGCTCACTCTTAGGAGGTCTGAGTGTGCAGTCACCCTGGCCTTCTACAAATAATGGGCATCACCCACTCCGATTACTCCTCTGACACAGCCGTTACAGAATAAATAGCTGACTTTATCAAAGGTCTCCAGGTTGGCAGCTGGTGAGGTAGCTCACATTACTCATTAAGCAGGTTCTCCCTCACCTGTTTACCAAACAGTCCTCCTACTCTAGAGCCTTACTTCTCCAAGAATTCAGATAGAATGAAACCGTTTGGTTTAAAGATCAAAATGCTGTGAAAATCCTGGCTCTTTCAATAAGGAATGAATGTAGGAACAACTTGGGCAGTTTATATTTTTATTTTTATTTTTTCTTTCGATTTGGGCAGTCTAGATGCTCATGTTTCACAGACGCTCCCTGGGAGGTGGGGCAGTGAGCCTGTGGGAAGGGGAGAGGGTCTGGGGCTTTACAGAGACCCCCTCCTTACCCCAGCCACCTTCCCAAACCCCGTTGAGCACCCCAGCCCAAGCTCACCTCCAAAAAGCCAACTGACTTCTCCTACTTTGCGCTTCCCCAGCCTTTACAGCTCACAACCCAGCGAGCAGTTCCCTGGGCCATCACCTCCTGTAGTTATTTGTCTGCATCTGGCAGGCCAGAATGGGCCAGAAACTCCTCAAGGACAAAACACTGAGTCACACTGCGAGTTTCCCCTCAGAGCTCCTGGCCCAATACCATCCATGCACAGAAGTCACTCAATAAATATTTGGAAAAAAAAATCAATGAATTTAACAGTAGGAAGTCAGCCTGTTGAGCTTGATTCTTCCAACGCATCCTATCCTTTCATTTAACAACACCCGCCCCCCTCCCCGCCAGGACACTGCTTTTTCTTCATTTCAATAACCAAGAATTACTTTTCAACCTGGGAGCAAAAATACCAGTGACCTCCCTAACATTCTAAGGAGAGAAATGGGGGGGGGGGGATGTTTAAGCCACACTGAGTTCCAGAAAAAGTTCTGTGAGTTCTCTTAGACTCACAGCTGTCAAAGCTCCAGGGTCACACTGAACGTAAGCCGGTTTGCTCCGCGTTTCCAAATTTGCGGCACAGAAGGCCCTACCCAGGAATGCGGGGGTGCATTTTGAATAAAAGAACTAGCCCCGGAGGCACCTGGGTGGCCCAGGGGGTGGGCGTGGGCCTTTGGCTCAGGTTGTGATCACCGGATCCCGGGATTGAGTCTGGCCTTGGGCTTGTTCCCTGCAGGGAGCCTGCTTCTCCCTCTTCCCGTGTCTCTCTGCCTCTCTCTCTCTCTCTGGGTCTCTCATGAATAAATAAAATCTTAAAAAGAAGAATTAGCTCACATCAGGCTAAGGGGTCTTCTTTCAATCGAGTAAACATTGAGTCTCAGGAGATTTTTACAGCCATCAAACTGAAATACTCTATCAAAACAGTAATTAGCAACCCGACTGGCTTCCCCAAGTGTCATCTTCTTAACCTGTGCTAACCAGCGCTTCACTGTCTTAGTTGCAGTGTGGAGGGGGAAAATTCGTGCACAGACCCAGCTGCCCCGAATGCAGAGACCCCCGCGCCCCCCAGGCCCCCGTCCCCCGCACATCGGCCCACAGCCACAGCTCCACCAGCAGACCCCTGCACAGCTGTGGGCACAGCTGTGGGCACAGCCCCCCCAGCCCCGCCCCCCCGCACCTGCGGACGGCCCCAGCCCCCCCAGCCCCCCCAGCACCTGCGGACGGCCCCAGCCCCCCCAGCCCCCCCCGCACCTGCGGACGGCCCCAGCCCCCCCAGCCCCCCCCGCACCTGCGGACGGCCCCAGCCCCCCAGCCCCCCCCGCACCTGCGGACGGCCCCAGCCCCCCCAGCCCCCCCAGCACCTGCGGACGGCCCCAGCCCCACCAGCCGCCCCCGCACCTGCGGACGGCCCCAGCCCCCCCCCGCACCTGCGGACGGCCCCAGCCCCCCCAGCACCTGCGGACGGCCCCAGCCCCCCCGCCCCCCCCGCCCCCACTTACAGGGTCACCTTCGTGGTCACCGTGGACCTGCCGGCGCCGAGATGGTTCCTGGGCTTCCCTCCGTCGGCGTCGGGGGCAGCGGCCGCCCGGCCCGGCTCTCGGCCTCGGCTGCCCTCGCCCCGGCCGTCGGGGAGGCCCGGGGCCAGGCCCCTCTTGTGCTCGGGCCTGATCTCCGGCAGCAGCGAGGCGCTCTTGACCGGGAGCTCGCGGGGCACGACCCGGGCCGCCCCGTCCGCGCGGTCCTCGGGGGGCTCCCCGGCGGGCGCGGCCTCGGGGCCTCGGCTCCGGCCCCTCCTCTTGGCCGGGGACGCGGCGGGCGGCGGCGGGGGGGACGGGGGGGGCGCCGGGCCGCGCTCCGCCTCCCCGCCGGGCTGCCCCCTGCCCCCGGGGCCGGCCTTGGCCTCCGCGCCCGCCGCCGCCGCCGCCGCCGCCGCAGCGCCCGGGTCGGGGGCCGCCGGGGAGTCCCCGCTCCCCGCCGCGTCGGGCGCCCGCTCGCAGCCGCTCCCCGGGCCGTCCCCGCCCGCGCTGTCGGGCGGCGCCGCGTCGGGCCCCGGGGACTCGGCGGACCTCTGCGGCCTCCGCCGCCTGCCGGCCCGGCGGCCGCACGACCTCCTCTCCATGTCGTCGGGGTCGCCGCAGTCCTCCGGCCCGGGGGCCGCGCCCTCGCCCGCGCCCGCGCCCTCGCCCTCGCCCGCGCCCGCGCCCTCGCCCTCGCCCGCGCCCGGGGAGACGACCAGGGTCAGCACCGCGGGCCGCGCGCGCTCTCCGGGGCCGCGCAGGGGCCCCGCTCCGCCGCCCGCCGCCGCCTCCGCACCCCCGGGGGGCGCCCCCGCCGCAGCCCCGGCGCCCGGGACGGCCTCCTGCTCGCCGCCAGCGCCGCGGGGGGCGCCCTCCCCGGGACCGCCCGCCCGCGCCTCCGCGCGCCCCTGCCCGGAGGGACTCTCGAGCGGGGAGGGCAGCTGCTTGGCGGCCCCCGGGAGGGGGAGGGGCCCTCCCCCCGCCTCCCGAGGCTCTAATTGGGGTGAATCCCGCCCCGCGCCCCGCGGCCCCGCCACCCCGCGTCCGCTGGCGCACGGGGCCCGCCCGGCGTCGGGGGGCGCTGCGCGCACGCAGGTGTCCGAGGGCCCCCCGGGCTCCCGCGCCGGCGGCTTCTCCTGCGGGGGCCCCTCCTCGCCCGGGGCCCTTCGCTTCGGTTGGCTGCCCTGAGGTTTGCTCTTGTCACTCTCTCTTTCCGGGAGTTTGGAAGAGGTGCCATCCTTGGGGGACGCGGGTTTGGCGTGGGAGCTGGTGGGGCTCTCCGCCCCGCTTCTGCCGGACCTCCTCCTGCCTGCCGCGAACAGGTGGCCGAGCTTCCCCAACACCGGCTTGCGTCTGTTTTCCTCGGGTGGTTGCGCCCTGGACTGGAAAACAAAAGGGGCGGGGGGGGGGGAGAGAAACGATGAGAATCTGCGTCCCCCCCCCCTTTTAGGAGTAAGTACGAGGCAGAAGGACAAGCCAAAATGGTAGCGACCAGCCCACCTGGAAAATTAGAGACCTGTGGTTTTTGCTACATGCACCCCAACAAAGTAAACTCGGATTGTCACATTTTTCCTAAGCCCCGTCTATGCTTGGCGGATAACATTTCCTGCAACTATGATCCTTGTGTTTTATTTATTATTTTAAAGATTTTTATTTGAGAGAGAGGCAGAGACACGGGCCGAGGGAGAAGCAGGCTCCACGCAGGGAGCCCGACGTGGGACTCGATCCCTGGTCCCCAGGATCAGGCCTTGGGCTGAAGGCAGGTGCTAAACTGCTGAGCCACCCGGGCTGCCCGGGTCCTTGTGTTTTAAAGAGAAAATCGGAAGGTCCAAATACTCAGGCCTACAAACTCAACAGCTCCCAGGTCGCTCCAGCTTTTGCTTTTTGCCTCCTTCGTCAATAAAGATGCAACTTCAAAACAGCCACGCGTGACTACACGGCAGCAGTAAACACACGAGAGTATCTCAAAGATTTTATTTTAGAGAGAGAGAGAGAGAGAGAGAGAAGGCAGGGGGGTGAGGGAGGCGCTGGGGGCGGCAGAGACAGAGAGGGGCAAGCGGGCTCCCCGCTGAGCACGGAGCCCCCACACTGGGCCCATCTCCGGCCCCCAGATCCTGAGCCCAAGTCCGCCGCTCAGCCCGACTGAGCCACCCAGGTGCCCCCAAAGTATCTGAAAGGGGAGTTTAAAAAAAAAAGAAAAGAAAAGAAAAAGAAAGGGGAGTTTTGCTTTGTTTTGAAAAAAACGCCCTTTCTTTTTGTAGGAAGAAAGGAAAACGAGTAAAAAGCTCCGGCGGTCTTTTCTAGAACAAAAAGAAGCCACCTGGGTCCAACAGAACTGCAAATGAAAACTCTTAAGAAACCCAGGGCTCCAGCACCTGGGCGGGCCTGCGCTCCCCCAATGGGAGAAGCTCCGGGCATTCGGACGCCCGCTGCCCCCTCCCCGGCCCCCCGCGATCCGGCTGCCGGGGGGGGGGGGTGGCGAGGGGCTCACCCGAGAGGCCTCGCCCCCGTGCGGAGGTCCTAGGAGCGCACACCCGGGAGTACCTGGGGGAAGGGGGGCCATCCTCCCCTCCGGTCCGGGGACGCCCAGCGCCCCGGAGCGACCTCGGCGGGGGCGGGGGGGGGGCCCTCACAGCCCCGCAGGCCTCCAGGAGCCCCGGCAGCCCCCACCCCCGTGGGAAGGGTCCGGGAAGGGGGAAAACGTGCACCTGTTCCGTAGCCTGGAGCCCAACCGCCCGCACCTGGCGCGCCCGAAGCGCGGGGCGCTCGAACGTCCCCACGGAAGCAGACCTGCCAGTGGGCGCCTTTCCTAAAGGAGGGCGAGCCTTCGGGGCAGGTTTTTTGGGTTTTTTTTTTTTTTTTTTTTTTTTTACAATATTAGCTGTTTAGAGAGATTCCCGAGTCACGCCTAGGAGCAGCTGCGTTTGCTTTGCGGGGCTGCCTCGGGCAGGAGGGGCCTGGAAGTGCACGGGGCCACCAAGCCTTGGTTGAGGCAGCTCCGGCACGGTGACTCCCCGTAACTCCGCGACAGCCTAGCCAGGTGGGGTCACCCCGGGCAGGAAGGAGGAGAGGGAGCCAGGACAGCGGAGGGACCAAGGGGTGAGATGGGGGGTGGGCAACAGCCGCAAGATCACACCCAAGTCCTCAGCCTCCACCGCGGGGACCCTTTGAGGACGTGGGGTGGGGGGCACCCCTGAGATAGAATCAGCCCAGAGGAAGAGACTGTCCGCAGGCCCTACACCCCCGGAATCGGCTCCTGAGAAGTGCTCATGAATCACATTTACTGAGCAGCCCTGAGTGACCCTTTGGGTTTGAGGAGCACCTGGCGGGAGCTTGGGAACTAGCTCGGTGTTGCAGCCACTGGGAGCTTTTGTGACCGAACTGGTACGCTTCTAAAGTCTAACCAGATTTTGATTAATAATTCAATCCTACAACAGTTATATAAAGAATATAAGAAGAATTCCTTGTGCAACTTAAGAAAAATAAACATTCCAACTGCCCAAGGAATACGCTTGGATTCTTAACTCTAAGTCAAAGGTATTACAGGATTTTTAAACATAATTCATGCTTACTCAGCCCTTCTTAAGGTGCTAGACCCTTGCAAAGAGATTTACAGAGAATCCCATCTGAGCTTCCCAACAGCCCTTGAGGGAGGTGCTCTTTTTACTGCCCATTTGCCAAGGTTTCTTAGCTCTGGCCAAGGTTCCACAGCCAGTAGTTTTTCTAACTCGGGAGACAAACTCAGCACTGTGTCTCCACTGCCTGGACAGGCTTTCACACATATTCTAAAGAAGTGCCGGGAAAAAAGGGTTTGAGTCTGTTGGCTCAGTTTTAGCCCATGTCAAAGGAAAACCGCTAAGTGCATCGCTCTGTCCTGCCCCTCATGTTGCAGCCCGTTGTTCCCATGGGGTTGAAGGGTGCCTGGTCAGCGCTCCTCTCTGCTCAGTGCTGGCATTTTTTTTTTTTTTCATTTTTGGCTGTAGCTGCTTTTCACAAAACCGATTGCTCTTGGTAGCTGGGCCTCATCAACCACTTGACTCCTCCTCCCCTGAGAAGGGCAGCAGCTTATCACCTGTCAGGCTACTGTTCTGTGTACTCAGCTTCCTAGACTTGTAGGGTTTTGCTTGTTTACACATGAACGTTCACAGCAGTTTCATTCACAACTGTCAAAAACTGCAAACAACTCAGATGTCCATCAAGGATGAATGGTGAAACAAACTGTGGTACAGTCATACAACAGAGTACTACTCCACAATAAAAAGGACTGAACTTCTGATGCGTGTAATGACGCAGAGAAATCTTAAAAAACTGTTGTGCTAAGTGAAAGAAGCCAGACTCAAAAGGTTCCGGACTGCATGGTTCTATTTATATGTTATTCTAGACAATACCAATCTAATATATAATCACAGAAAGTAGGTCAGTGGTTGCCTGAGGGTAGGGAGAGGGTGGGGAGGGGTGCGGTGTGACCGGAAAGAGGTGCCAAGGTACTTAGGGGGGTGTAATGGCCACGTTCTATATCTTAATTGTGGTGATAGTCACACACATGTACCTATCTTTCAAAAATCATCAAACTGTATACTTGAAATAGGTCCAATTTGTTACCTATAAATTATATCTTAATAAAGTTGGTTTAAAAAGAAAACAACCAGGATCCCTGAGTGGCGCAGCGGTTTGGCGCCTGCCTTTGGCCCAGGGCGCGATCCTGGAGACCCGGGATCGAATCCCACGTCGGGTTCCCGGTGCATGGAGCCTGCTTCTCCCTCTGCCTATGTCTCTGCCTCTCTCTCTCTCTCTGTGTGTGTGTGACTGTCATAAATAAAAAAAAAAGAGAGAGAAAGAAAACAACCCCTGAGAAACAATCCATCTGGCTCAGATGCACATTTCATAGTTCTTAGACAATGGGAGCCCCGAGTACATTTTAAGAGCTAGGTCCTCATTTACAAAAAATGCAGCCTCCCCCAGGAGCCAGGTCCCTAGCATCGCCAGCATCTCCAGCGTATCTCTAGGCAAGGCGCTCCGTTCATCTGAACTACAGTTCCCAGTCCTATCTTTGAGAAACACTCCTTCTTAAAATAGGACGCGCATTTCTTTTCAGCCAGGGATTTTTCTTTCCAATGTTTAGGGAGGAAGAATGAGCGTGGCAGGTGGAAAATGAAAAACTAGATGGCCAGTGAGTTGTCCAGAGAGTAGGGACCTTCTTACTTAGGAGCCTCCGCAAGGGGAGTGCTAATGGTAGGAGGGGACCCAGCACCTACCCACTGTCCATTGGGAAGGGGAGTGTTTTGCAAAGAGGCCAGAGGGCCAATCAGTCTTTTTCCTGCTCTCCCAGGCCTCTCCCTGGGCTCTCCCAGTCAGAAGGTGGGGAGTTCTTGGGCTGGGTGTTCACAGATCTCAGGGAGCACTGCAATCCCAACGCCGCCTCCTTCCCACTTAGCCCTTTCCCATGTACTCTGTGCCCGCCTTATTTAAGGCAGCCTGCACACCTCACTGCGCAGAACCTGCACTCGGAATCCTCCTGTCACCCCCGCCTGATTGGGAGGGGTGCAGTCCACAACAGGACTACCTCAGAGATGGTCCGTGGCTTGTATGCTAGGGCTTGTTCTAGAGAGCTCTTGTTGGCTAATGTCAAATGGAGCTCGTGAGGGGCGTGCGCAGACGTCGAGGACAAGCCCATCCAAGCTCCAGGGGGGAGTAGAGGCCCAGGCACAGTGGCTGCGGAGCCCTGTTGTGATTCCCAACCTCGGTGCAGCAACACCTGCTCTCAGCAGCTGCCACTTAGTACAAGTCGCCTTGTACTGTTACATGCAATTTCAGAGATCTCTGCGATCTTCTCAACTAGTGGGGAGTGAAAGGCCAGGAAATACAGGATAAATTGTTAATTTACAATTTACAAACTGTTAGCATAGGAAAATGTCTGTACATCTCGGGCCCCAGACTTCCCCACCCCCACCCCCGAAACTGCCTAATTGCCTACTGAAGTCATTGCTTTAAATTTAGAAGCACTTTACCCGAAGTCAGGTTTGGAGGTTGAAGAAAAATATGTTGAGCATATTACATGAAAATGTAATTAACATACTGTTTCAAAATAAGTCTTTCACGTGTTTCCCACCTTTTTGTTGCCCAGTGGAATATAAGTCCCTTAGGAGCAGGAAAACCCGCCTCTCTTGCTTTCCCAACACTTAGCACGGGGACTTACAAGGAGAGGTGGACAAGAAGCATTTGCTGCTACTGGAATTTGCAACATCCCTTCTCCCTTCCAATGCTCTTGGAGATAAGTAGAAACAGGATTAGGTCTAAACAAAACCAAAACAGACTAGAAATCTTTTTTTTTTTTTTTTGCACAGGACTTAGTGTGGCCAAGAACTTGCAGCTCTGTACTGCC